CTCAACCGATGACAAGGGCGAGTACAAGAAGGGGGATCAGGACAACATCCTCATCGAGTTCCTCGAGCGCGGACTCAGCAGCGAAATTGCAAGCCGCCTCTACAACACCGGCGTCCCCCTGCCCAAGGCATATGGTGCCTTCAAGAACTGGTGCGTCAACATCGAGGCCAATGCCTTGCGCGATCAACTGCGTAAGGCATCCTATGCGCACTCAACTCCGCGACCCCCACCCCAATTCCGCCCTCAGGCTGCACCGTCAGCACCTACACCCGCTCCGGCCCGACCAGCGGCCAATGAGCCGGTTCCGATGGAGATCAATCGCACCCACGCCCGTGGCCGCAATATCATCTGCTACAACTGTCAGCAGCCTGGGCACATTGTGCGGAACTGCCCTGAGCCCAAGAAGAAGCGCACGTTCTTCAATCGGGCCACAATGCTAGAAGAGATTGAGAACGGGGACAAGGACAACGAGTTCCTGAAGGAGATCGCCGAGAAGCTGCGCGAGAAGGGTTTTTGAAGCGCTCCACTCCTCTAGCCAAGGAGGTGGAGCGTCCGGACTATGGACGTTTTTCTGTACTTGTTTCGATTAAAGACATGAACGATTCTACACATACATATACAATCTCGGACTCATTACGTACCAATATTCATGATTTTCTCATTGATGATATGGAAAAAGAACGCCAAGGAAAAATAGCTTTAAATAGAGAGTATTTACAAAGTAAAAAGGATCGGAAAGCTGCAGATAAATTAATTTTGGATTCCTACGTATTTATGGCTCGTGGAGAAGGAACCACGTCAACAAAGACCGAAAAGGGGAGCACCGCTCCGAAGGCTCGATCCTTGGAAAAGGAGGAAGCGCCTAAGAAATCTGCCGAAATCAAGGTTCCAGAAGCACCCAAACGCACCAGGGTGCCAGATGCCGTCCAGAGGAAATTGGCGGCCGAGAAACAGAAGGGCCCCCAGCCCAGCAGGTTGGCGCAGGAACTGCGCAATTACCAGGCCGAGAGGAAGAGACATTCGATGGACGTATATGTCCAGATCACAGGCCTGGACTCAGGAAAGACGCGCGGAGTTAAGGCGCTACTCGACAGTGGCTGTAGCACCTGCTGCATCGATACCGACTACGCACGGGCAGAGAAGCTGGATATCCAAGAACTTCCCCAACCCATTGTGGCTCGTAACGCCGACAACACCGAAAACATCAGCGGCCGGATCACGCATTACGTTGACCTAAGGATGAGAATCGGTCCTCACGTGGAGACACGCACGTTCCTTCTGACGTGCTTAGGGAAAGCCCGGATCTTCATCGGTCTTGACTGGCTGATGGAACACAACCCGGAGGTGGATTGGCAGGAGCAAACGATGAGATTCAGCCGATGCCCAGAACGGTGTCACATGAGGGGTCACGAGGAACACCAAGTAATGGTTGACATGGACGCAATTGACCTGGACATGGGCACACCGGATCTGGAAGAGGGAGAATCGATCTTGTTGGTCGATTTTGGGAAGGAAGTGGACCTGCGGCTGAAGGAAACACCGGCGCAGAAATTCGCAGAAGAAGCGGAAAAAGAGAAGGAGAGGATGACCGAAGGGAAAATTCCGGATCAATACCGGGAATTCGTCAAAGTATTTGCCAAGGAATCATTCGACTCACTACCGGACCGACGAACCTGGGATCATGCGATTGAGCTCAAACCCGGTTCCAAAGCAGTGGACTGCAAGGTATACCCGCTATCACGAAACGAGCAGGTCAAACTCGACGAGTTCTTACAAGAGAACCTGGCCAGCGGACGAATCAGGCCATCAAAATCACCCATGGCCTCAGCGTTCTTCTTCGTCAAAAAGAAAGATGGTTCGCTACGTCCCATCCAGGATTATCGGAAGCTGAACAAGATGACAATCCGAAATCGATACCCGCTGCCACTGATCTCCGAGCTGGTCCATAATCTATGCGGCGCCAAGTTCTTCACCAAGCTCGACATCCGATGGGGATACAATAACGTACGGATCAAAGAGGGTGACGAGTGGAAGGCTGCGTTCCGCACGAACCGTGGACTGTACGAGCCCTTGGTCATGTTCTTTGGTCTCACGAACTCCCCGGCTACCTTCCAAAACATGATGAACGACATACTCCAAGAACTGATCAATGAGGGACACGTGGTAGTCTATCTGGACGATATACTGATCTTCACAGAAAATCTGGATGAACATCGACGAATCACCAAACGAGTACTCGAGTTGCTCCAAAAGCACAAATTATACCTGAAGCCGGAAAAGTGCGAGTTCGAACGCACGGAAATCGAATACCTGGGTGTAATCATTGGACACAACTCGATGCGGATGGACCCAGTCAAGATCAAGGGCGTGATGGAATGGCCGGAACCAAAGAGCGTCAAACAAGTCCAAGCGTTTCTAGAGTTCACAAACTTCTATCGGCGCTTTGTCCGGGGATACGCGGAGGTTGCCAAGCCATTGACACGGCTGACAGGAAAGGCAGGATGGTCATGGGGTGCAGATGAGCATGCAGCATTTGAGGGATTGAAGAAGAGAATTGCGGAGGATGCGGTCTTAGCACTGCCAAATGAGACTGGCCAATATCGTCTGGAAGCCGATGCTTCGGAAGGGGCAACAGGATCAGTTTTGAGCCAAAACCAAGACGGCATTTGGCGCCCAATCGCATTTATTTCGCACGCATTGACCGAAACCGAGCGAAATTACGAGATCTACGACAAGGAAATGCTTGCAATCATGTTATCGCTTGACGAATGGAGGCAGTTACTCCTGGGAGCCACAGAAACGTTCGAGATCTTCACCGATCATCAGAATCTCGAGTACTTTCGGAAGCCGCAGAAGCTCAATCGACGGCAAGCACGATGGATCACGGAGTTGGCGGAGTTCGATTTCACCTTACGACACCGGCCTGGCGCGCTCAACCGCAAGGCGGATCTCTTATCCCGACGAGCAGATCACGATCAGGGCAAGAACGACAACAAGGACGTCACGCTACTAAAGCCCGAGTTCTTCCGATCACAAGAAGTCACATTCGAGGGACAGGATCGGCAGCTAATCGATGAAATCAAGGCCATTCGATCAATTGATGGAAGCGTCAAGGCGGCCTTGGAGAAGTCCCTCGTCGGATGGAAGAAGGAAGAGGGGCTTATCACGTATCATGGGAAGCTCTATGTACCAAGGGACGAGGAGCTGCGGGACAAGATCATCGGACTACACCACGACACCCCTTTGGTCGGACACGCTGGGATCAACCGAACGCAAGAGATGGTGGAAAGGAATTACTGGTGGCCAAGGATGGGAAACCAAATTCGGAAATACATCCAAACGTGCGAGGCGTGCCAGCGGACCAAGACCAGGAGAGCAAGGACAGGGAGTCTACACCCGCATGCAGTCCCAAACGCGCCGTGGGAAATCATCTCCATGGATCAGATCGGACCCTTGCCGGTCAGTAACGGGTATGACGCAATTCATGTGTGGTGTGACACCTTCACCAAAATGATCCATGTCGAACCAATTAGTACTGACATCAGCAGCGAAGGAGTGGCACGATTAACCAGGGACCAAGTCTTCCGCTACCACGGGATCCCTCGCAAGATCATCACCGACAGGGATTCCCGCTACATCAAGGGCTTCATGAGGGAGACGAATCGGATGTTGGGCATAGAAATGAATCCAGGGACCGCGTATCACCCGATCACGGATGGGCAGACAGAACGCATGAATCAGGAGATCGAGCATTATCTCCGCATCTACGTCAATTACCATCAGACGGACTGGTCGGAGTGGCTGGGAATGGCGGAGTTCGCATATAACGATAAAATGAACACATCTACCAAAATATCACCATTCTACGCGAATCACGGATATCACCCATGGAAGGGAGTGGAGCAGCGGATGGAATCGAGGAACGAGTCGGCGGAGGAGTTCGTAAAAAGAATCAAAGAAATACAAGACGAAGCAAAAGTAGCATTGGAAAAAGCAAAAGAAAAAATGAAAAAATACTACGATAAACAAAGAAAAGAAGTTCCGGAGTTGAAGGTTGGGATGAAGGTGTACATAGAAGGGGAAAATATCGAGACGGATCGACCATCAAAAAAGATGAGCGACAAGAGACTAGGGCCATACGAGATATTGGAGAAGGTTGGAGCGGCCGCATGGAAGCTGGATTTGCCGGACACGGACCGAAGACACCCGGTGTTCAACGAGTCACTATTGACACCATATCACGAACCACCCCCCCATCGCCGAGAGAAGAGGCCCGTAGCCAAGATGATCGGAGGAGCAGAGGAGTGGGAAGTCGATGAGATTGTGAAAGAGCGAAACATCGGCCGAGGAAAACAGTACTTGGTCAAATGGAAGGGATGGCCGCATAGCGAGAACACCTGGGAACCATCACGTCACCTTACCCACGCGAAGAAGGTCCTGAGAGATTGGCAGAGGAAACAATCCAACCCAGACACACGCATTTGCCTCCTGCCAACGCTCGAAGCCGGACACTGGGATTATCTCATCCATCGCTACAAACCCAAAGACGAGCGCCTTCCATACCCCCAGCGACAACTCTTCAATCCCTACGAGAACGTCTTCACGCCCATTGGCCTAGTCAATGAGGACATCGACCCTAGAGAGGGGGTAATGTCATAATTCGGCCACTTTTTATCTTATCATCGACGATCTTATCTTATCTTGGCATGACTTATCTTATCACGGATCACGGCACCAGGCGGTCCGGGTTAGGGGTTCCAGGGGTTATCCTTATCGATTCAAGGCTGCGCGACATATGCTCCGGAAGGTTCTACTACAACCCATGACCAGTGTTCCATGCGGTACATAGCCCTATGACTCATTAGTTGTAGATATGACTCAGACTGGATTCGGGTATAAATACTGTAGCTACTTGGTTGTATTCTCCAGTCTCGAATTCACTTCTCTTTTCGACTTTGTTTTGGGTTGATTGTCACACAAAAGATATCAGGAACCCCTAGTTAATGGTCCCCAGGAACTCCGCTCATGATTGTTGGCTTGCAGATCCCAGTCTTGAGGCGATTCTTCTTGAATTGGGTTGGGTTTTGCGAGGAACAAACCAGAGTGAGATTCCAGTTGTACCGCTGGCGGACTGAGTCCTGGTTACAGTTCTCGAGTAGCTTGACAAGATTTACGTCCTTGTGATTGCATCCACGCATAGAATATCCAATCAGCTTCAGGAGGGCAGGATTGTACATGCCAGAGCCGGACTGTTCACAAGATCAGAATTGTGTATCAGGCCTATAGACTCACAAACCTCATGTTGTCCAACCAAACCACAGTGTGAACGACAGCCTTGTCTCCTATGATGTCCAACCCCACCGGAGAAAGCTGCCATACCCGGAGTATCCGCCATACCAACAGCTATGAATGGTTGGGTCGTCTTTGAAGGCTCCGTTGGTCTAAGCGCATCCCAGACCTTCAGCCTTTCAGCCTCGTTCTGCAATGCCGCAATGTGGTGGAGACCTGGAAATAGAAAGCTATCCATGTTCTTTGGCTTATTGGGACCAGGGACAACAAAACTGGGCATAATGTGATTCTTCTTGTAGCGGACCATCGGGGAAAAGTCAAATAATAGCCAGATTCCAATCCAGCAGTCGGAAGACTTATTGCGATATAGTTGAGCACCATCAAGCAACAAGCCCACCACAAAGTTGGCAGCCCCAATCTGGCCATTGCGGAGTGCATCAAGGAAGTCGCTTCCGTCAAAGAAGTTGGTATATGATTGGGTTTTCTCCCCTCTGTTTGTCTGCAAGTCTTTCAAGATTTCTTCGACAATGTGTTTGCGATAGCGCAGCTTGGCGGAAGCTTCAGGTGATTGACGTAGTGCTTGAAGCTGTGGACCAAGGAGGACAGTATTGAATGTCTGTTGTGCAATGGATCCACTTTTGTTAGCGTCGTATCGCCGCTCACCACACTTGGGGCATTCTTCCATATCCGCAAATGGCCCTGTGTATGCGAGGCAAGACTGAATGCACATATCATGTGTCACATAGAAAACACCAGTGATGTGCTTGACAAGCTTCTTGACACAGTGGTAAGATAGGATTTCCGAATCAGGGTAGCAACGTAGAACGGCTCAGTGCATTGATTCATAGGTCTCGATAGATGCATGGCCGTTGACAGCAAAGTAGACGTCAATTGAAAGCTTTTTGTCAAGAGTGAGGACGGGGGGATCTCGAAGAGGATTCCTGATCTGCTGAATGGTTTCATGACTCAGTCTTCTGCACTGGTCGTCAAGCCTGGCTCCATGAATGAGTTGGATGAATGTATTTGTGATATTGATGTCTTCAATACGACTCTCCGTAAAGAAAATTGGTAGGGTATCTTCTTCGTCCTCTTTCTCCGCCTCTCTTTCGGCTTCAGTACTGGCCACATTACCTCCGAGTGTCTCATTGGGACCAGCAGCGTCACCCCCTCCATCCACTTGTTCCTCAATCCCCTCTCCAGTACCAATTGGGGATCCCCACCCAGTCGCCTTGATATCAGTCTCCTCGTTGTTCTGAATGAAAAGACAATCAAGAAGTGCCTTGTCTCAGGTGCGTCTTGGATGTACCCTTGTATTCTCTTGGCCAGTGTCTCCCTCCTCAGCTCTACTCTCCATCTCGATCTCCGGAGCATTGCTGTCTGCCGCAGGTTGCAATTGTCTACGCGCATGCTGGGATGATGTGACAATCAACCCAAAAACAAGTCGAAAAGAGAAGTGAATTCCAAGACTGGAGAATACAACCAAGTAGCTACAGTATTTATACCCAAGTCCAGTCTGAGTCATATCTACAACTAATGAGTCATAAGGCTATGTACCGCATGGAGCACTGGTCATGGGTTGCAGTAGAACCTTCTGGAGCATGTGTCGCGCAGCCTTGGATCGATGAAGATAATCCCTAGGACCCCTAGCCCGGACCGTCTGATGCCGTGATCCGTGATAAGATAAGTCGTGCCAAGATAAGATAAGATCGTCGATGATAAGATGAAAAAGTGGCCGAACTATGACATTACCCCCTTTCTAGGGTCGATGTCCTCATCGACTAGGCCAATGGGAGTGAAGACGTTGTCGTAAGGGTCGAAGAGTTGTTGTTGTGGGTATGGAAGGCGCTCGTCTCTGGGTTTGTAGCGATGGATGAGATAGTCCCAATGTCCGGCTTCGAGCGTTGGCAGGAGGCGAATGTGTGTGTCTGGGTTTGATTGTTTCCTCTGCCAATCGCTCAGGACCTTCTTCGCGTGGGTAAGGTGACGTGATGGTTCCCAGGTGTTCTCGCTATGCGGCCATCCCTTCCATTTGACCAAGTACTGTTTTCCTCGGCCGACGTTTTGCTCTTTCACAATTTCTTCGACTTCCCACTCCTCTGCTCCTCCGATCATCTTGGCTACGGGCCTCTTCTCTCGGCGATGGGGGGTGGTTTGTGATAGGGTGTCAATAGTGACTTGTTGAACACCGGGTGTCTTCGGTCCGTGTCCGGCAAATCCAGCTTCCATGCGGCCGCTCCAACCTTCTCCAGTATCTTGTATGGTCCTAATCTCTTGTCGCTCATCTTCTTTGATGGTCTATCCGTCTCGATATTTTCCCCTTCTATGTACACCTTCATCCCAACCTTCAACTCCGGAACTTCTTTTCTTTGTTTATTGTAGTATTTTTTCATTTTTTCTTTTGCTTTTTCTAATGCTGCTTTTGCTTCGTCTTGTATTTCTTTGATTCTTTTTACGAATTCCTCCGCCGACTCGTTCCTTGACTCCATCCGTTGCTCCACTCCCTTCCACGGGTGATATCCGTGATTCGCATAGAATGGCGATATTTTGGTAGACGTGTTCATCTTGTCGTTATATGCGAACTCCGCCATTCCCAGCCACTCCGACCAGTCCGTCTGATGGTAATTGACGTAGATGCGGAGATAATGCTCGATCTCCTGATTCATGCGTTCTGTCTGCCCATCCGTGATCGGGTGATACGCGGTCCCTGGATTCATTTCTATGCCCAACATCCGATTCGTCTCCCTCATGAAGCCCTTGATGTAGCGGGAATCCCTGTCGGTGATGATCTTGCGAGGGATCCCGTGGTAGCGGAAGACTCGGTCCCTGGTTAATCGTGCCACTCCTTCGCTGCTGATGTCAGTACTAATTGGTTCGACATGGATCATTTTGGTGAAGGTGTCACACCACACATGAATTGCGTCATACCCGTTACTGACCGGCAAGGGTCCGATCTGATCCATGGAGATGATTTCCCACGGCGCGTTTGGGACTGCATGCGGGTGTAGACTCCCTGTCCTTGCTCTCCTGGTCTTGGTCCGCTGGCACGCCTCGCACGTTTGGATGTATTTCCGAATTTGGTTTCCCATCCTTGGCCACCAGTAATTCCTTTCCACCATCTCTTGCGTTCGGTTGATCCCAGCGTGTCCGACCAAAGGGGTGTCGTGGTGTAGTCCGATGATCTTGTCCCGCAGCTCCTCGTCCCTTGGTACATAGAGCTTCCCATGATACGTGATAAGCCCCTCTTCCTTCTTCCATCCGACGAGGGACTTCTCCAAGGCCGCCTTGACGCTTCCATCAATTGATCGAATGGCCTTGATTTCATCGATTAGCTGCCGATCCTGTCCCTCGAATGTGACTTCTTGTGATCGGAAGAACTCGGGCTTTAGTAGCGTGACGTCCTTGTTGTCGTTCTTGCCCTGATCGTGATCTGCTCGTCGGGATAAGAGATCCGCCTTGCGGTTGAGCGCGCCAGGCCGGTGTCGTAAGGTGAAATCGAACTCCGCCAACTCCGTGATCCATCGTGCTTGCCGTCGATTGAGCTTCTGCGGCTTCCGAAAGTACTCGAGATTCTGATGATCGGTGAAGATCTCGAACGTTTCTGTGGCTCCCAGGAGTAACTGCCTCCATTCGTCAAGCGATAACATGATTGCAAGCATTTCCTTGTCGTAGATCTCGTAATTTCGCTCGGTTTCGGTCAATGCGTGCGAAATAAATGCGATTGGGCGCCAAATGCCGTCTTGGTTTTGGCTCAAAACTGATCCTGTTGCCCCTTCCGAAGCATCGGCTTCCAGACGATATTGGCCGGTGTCGTTTGGCAGTGCTAAGACCGCATCCTCCGCGATTCTCCTCTTCAACCCATCAAACGCCGCATGTTCATCCGGACCCCATGACCATCCTGCCTTCCCTGTCAGCCGCGTCAACGGCTTGGCGACCTCCGCATATCCCCGAACGAAACGTCGATAGAAGTTTGTGAATCCGAGGAAGGCTTGGACTTGCTTGACGCTCTTCGGTTCCGGCCATTCCATCACGCCCTTGATCTTGACAGGGTCCATCCGCATCGAGTTGTGTCCAATGATTACACCCAGGTATTCGATTTCCGTGCGTTCGAACTCGCACTTTTCCGGCTTCAGGTATAATTTGTGCTTTTGGAGCAACTCGAGTACTCGTTTGGTGATTCGTCGATGTTCATCCAGATTTTCTGTGAAGATCAATATATTGTCCAGATAGACTACTACGTGTCCCTCGTTGATCAGTTCCCGGAGTATGTCGTTCATCATGTTTTGGAAAGTTGCCGGGGAATTCGTGAGACCAAAGAACATAACCAAGGGCTCGTAAAGTCCGCGGTTTGTGCAAAACGCAGCCTTCCACTCATCGCCCTCTTTGATCCGTACGTTGTTGTATCCCCACCGGATGTCTAGCTTGGTGAAGAACTTGGCGCCGCACAGGTTGTGGACCAGTTCGGAAATCAGCGGTAGCGGGTACCGATTTCGGATCGTCATCTCATTCAGCTTCCGGTAATCTTGAACAGGCCGTAGCGAGCCATCCTTTTTCTTGACGAAGAAGAATGCTGATGCCATCGGTGATTTTGATGGCCTGATCCGTCCGCTGGCTAGGTTCTCTTGTAAGAACTCGTCGAGTTTGACCTGCTCGTTTCTCGATAAGGGGTACACCTTGCAGTCCACTGCTTTGGAGCCTGGTTTGAGCTCGATTGCATGATCCCATGCCCGTCGGTCCGGTAGCAAGTCGAATGATTCCTTGGCGAATACTTTGACGAATTCTCGGTATTGATCTGGAATCTTTCCCTCGGTCATTCTCTCCTTCTCCTTTTCTGCTTCTTCTGCAAATTTCTGCGCCAGCGTTTCCTTCAGCCGTAGGTCTACCTCCTTTCCAAAGTCGATCAACAAGATCGATTCCCCCTCTTCCAGATCCGGTGCATCCGCGTCCAGGTCAATTGCATCCATGTCGACCATCGCTTGGTGCTCCTCGTGACCCCTCATTTGACATTGCTCTGGGCATCGGCTGAATCTCATTGTCTGCTCCTGCCAATCCACCTCGGGGTTGTGTTCCGTCAGCCAGTCCAGGCCGATGAAGATCCGAGCTTTTCCCAAACACGTCAGAAGGAACGTGCGTGTCTCTACATGAGGGCCGATTCTCATTCTCAAGTCAACGTAGTGCGTGATCCGACCGCTGATGTTCTCGGTGTTGTCGGCGTTACGAGCCACAATGGGTTGCGGAAGCTCTTGGATATCCAGCTTTTCTGCCCGTGCGTAGTCAGTATCAATGCAGCAGGTACTGCAGCCGCTATCGAGCAGCGCCTTGACCCCGCGCGTTTTCCCTGAATCCAGGCCCGTGATCTGGACATATACATCCATCGAATGCCTCTTTCTTTCGGCTTGGTAACTGCGCAATTCCTGCGCCAATCTGCTGGGCTGGGGGCCCTTCTGTTTCTCGGCCGCCAATTTCCTCTGGACGGCATCTGGCACCCTGGTGCGTTTGGGTGCTTCGATTTTGACGGATTCCTTGGGCGCTTCCTCCTTTTCCAAGGATCGAGCCTTCGGAGCGATGCTCCCCTTTTCGGTCTTTGTTGACGTGGTTCCTTCTCCACGAGCCATAAATACGTAGGAGTCCAAAAATAATTTATCTGCAGCCGCGGTCTTCTGATCCTTTTTATCTTGTAAGTATTTTCTATTTAGAGCTATTTTTTCCTGGCGTTCTTTTTCCATCTCGGCAATAAGGAAATCGTGAATATTTGTACGTAGTGAGTCTGAGATTGTGTATGTATGTGCAGAATCGCTCATGTCTTCAATCGAAACAAGTACAGAAAAACGTCCATAGTCCGGACGCTCCACCTCCTTGGCTAGAGGAGTGGAGCGTTTCAAAAACCCTTCTCGCGCAGCTTCTCGGCGATCTCCTTGAGGAACTCATTGTCCTTGTCCCCGTTCTCGATCTCTTCTAGCATCGTGGCCCGATTGAAGAAGGTGCGCTTCTTCCTTGGTTCCGGACAGTTCCGCGCAATGTGCCCGGGCTGCTGGCAGTTGTAGCAGATGATATTGCGGCCGCGGGCGTGGGTACGATCAATTTCCATCGGAACCGGTTCGTTGGCAGCGGGTCGGGCCGGAGCGGGTGTGGGCGCCACTGGTGCCGCTTGGGGACGGAACTGGGGAGGTGGTCGTTGTGTGGGGTGCCCATACGACGCTTTGCGCAGCTGGTCACGCAGAGCGTTGGCTTCGATGTTGATGCACCAGGCTTTGAACGCTCCATAGGCCTTGGGCAGAGGGACACCGGTGTTGTAGAGACGACTGGCAATCTCGCTGCTGAGTCCGCGCTCCAGGAACTCGATGAGGATATTATCCTGGTCCCCCTTCTTGTATTCGCCTTTGTCGTCGGTGGTGTCGACCACATTGTAGCCTGCATCCGCGGCCAACATCTCAAAGTCGGAGATGTAGTCCGCAAACGACCGTTTGTTTTGGCGCAGGGCCATAAGCCGAGCAGCGGCGACTTGTTCCGCGTTGGAGTCCCCGAACGCCCTCTGAAGCTCCTCCAGGAAGTTCTTTGATGTGACTCCCGCCTTCAGTCCCTGGAAGCCATCGAAGTTGTGCTGCTTCCAGTTCATCGCCCATCTCGAGGCAGCACAGCTCGTGCCATTCTCGTTACGGAGGTAGGAGAGGACGAAGAGGATTTTGGTCTCATCCTGCGCGAACTCCGACCGATAGGCACCGATGTAGGTGGTGCACGCGTCCACAAAGCCCAGGTATTTGGACTTGTCGCCATCGAAGTAGGGGGGGTTGGCGGCGAGGGTGATGCGGTGATGCCCTGACATGGTAGGACCAGGCGTGTGAGGTGGGGGCGAGGGTGGTTGTTCGGAGGGCAGTTCGTCGAGGTCGGGGATCTCGTCTTCAGGCGGTGGGAGGGCGAGGTAGGGGTTGGAGGGTCCGGGTTGGTTTTGATGCGCCAGATCGGGCGACGATGGTACAATGGGGGGAGGGGACGGGCTCCCAGACGATGATGGGAATCGGTACGAAATGGTGGAGTCGTGTGCTGTACAAGCACTCGAGGGAGGGTTCTTTTGCTAGCAAAAAGATCCCGGGCCTAGCTCTTCACGTGCCCGATGATCCCGAGGTGCGTTTTCCCGAAGGTCTCCGCAGCACTCCTTGTAGCTACCGTAAGGCTTGGGTCGGGCTCAACGTTACCCGTGGCCTGGTGCTGTTTGCTTGATACGAACCCTTCACTGCGATAGTGGAGGACGACTAGATGATTTGGTAAAAGGGTGAGTGGGGTGATAAGGGTCAAGAGGATATAGCGGGCGTAGCGGTGCAGGATACAGGGTAAGAGGTATGAGGTAGGAAGGTATGAGGGGAGTCTTGGAATTATGTGACAATCAACCCGAAAACAAGTCGAAAAGAGAAGTGAATTCCAAGACTGGAGAATACAACCAAGTAGCTACAGTATTTATACCCAAGTCCAGTCTGAGTCATATCTACAACTAATGAGTCATAAGGCTATGTACCGCATGGAGCACTGGTCATGGGTTGCAGTAGAACCTTCTGGAGCATGTGTCGCGCAGCCTTGGATCGATGAAGATAATCCCTAGGACCCCTAGCCCGGACCGTCTGATGCCGTGATCCATGATAAGATAAGTCGTGCCAAGATAAGATCAGATCGTCGATGATAAGATGAAAAAGTGGCCGAACTATGACAGATGAACGGTTTCCAACGCTTGTTTGCTTCTTCTGGTGCTTGTACCACGTCGATCGAGGAACCAAACGCCCATGATACCCACAGTGCTTTCTGCAGAAGCACTTCATTACTGCTGATGTCGACGAAGCCATATTGCGGAACAGAGCAAGGAGGAATTTTGATTGACAAGTGCAATCAGTCTTGACGCAGATGCATTTGCCCACCACAATCACTGCAGATATGTACTCAATTTCGCTCACATCCAGTGCGTTAAACACAGTGTCTATATCTACACGTACGTCAGAACCCGAGACCGCATTTTGGCCTCAGCAGATACCGGAGCATACTGGGACGTCCAGCCAATACTGTGTTATACCTCGGGATACTGCTTTTTCACTGGGCCTCATGAGTCAACCTCATCGGTGCATTTGTGACGGCTGTGACTGTTCGCGTCTCACTTTCGCAGAAGTTCGGATCACAACCCCACGGGGTCCATCACTGATATCACGTTCGCCGCTTGTGCGGACTGGCAACCGTACTGCGAAACCTCATGAGCTGCCACCACAACCACCAGAAATCTACAGCTGCGGGGAGCGCGTACCCCACCCTCAATCCTGGCTCGGGTGCTAAATGGATCAAGAGTCTCACCCGGGACCGTATCAACCAGTTCAACGGGGGCCATTTCGGTGATGTGAATCTCGGTGCGGTGCTCTACGAGCGCATTGAAGGCGGGAAGAATTACGTTGACCTTCAAGTGTGCGTGCATCTGCTTCGAATGTGGTGATATTCCGTTTGTGACCCCTCGAAAGATGGAGCGCGCCGGGGCGGACGAAACCGACGTTCGCAGAGGCGATGAAGCAGGAGTTCAAGCCTGCGAAGAAGGGAGACTCGTTTGGGCCAAGCTGTTCGTCCCTCCTTTTCATCTTGACAGACTGTTCATCGCAATCCAGGGACGAACCACTGGTGGAAGGTTACACTGCATATTCCTCCGAAAGAATTCGACCAGTACGAGCGCGTACAGTGTATGCTCTACTTCATTGCCTCCTAATGCACTAGTGTTCACGACAAGAAGTCGAATTTGATCCAGGATGCGAGGCCATGATATTCGACCTCGATGGAACTCCCGTGCACGGTACGAAACCGAACCCCTCACACATCTGTGCGCTCACTCACGACTTCCTGCAGGTATTACCGGTGGTTACGCTGGTGACCGTCGTGTCGAATATATCATCCCAGCCGCTGCAAGGAAGGCTGGTGTCCACCATTTCATCGTCGAGAGCTCATGTAACGGCATGTTTGGCATGCAAGGCGGAGCAATTTCGCCTCCCGATGTGAGTTTCTCGTGTCGTCAGAAGAAACCAGGCTTGATCCAACAAACTAGCCCAACCGCTACTTTAGCTTGGCGTCTGCGGATTTGGTTGCTCCCAACCAGGATGCATGGCGACTGCTGTGGGATTTCACTACTCTCAGGGAACTGGTCGACACTTTACCTGGCAATACACCGTGCGTCCTATTTCTGGATCAAATCAAATAGCTCACGACGAGTTTTCCATAGACTGCAGAACTTAGCGCTGACTACTGCCAATTCCATTATGAACACATTCGACTGGCGCAATCGCGATTCAATCCTCAAAGCACGTGAGGTGGCGCAACGCGTCTTTGGCCAAGTCTCGAAGGATTACGAAGGGGTCTACGAGAAGGGCGACGCGAGACCACTTGTTTGGGGCATTGGACAGTGCGTTACAGCACTCATCCATAGCCTCCAATGCTGACTAGTCCTAGCTGCCATATAGACACAGCCTGGCTTTGGCCGTACAGCGTGACGCAGCAGAAGACTGCGCGCTCCTGGGCCACGCAATTGGATCTCATGGCTCGATACGACGAGCATCGATTCACTTGCAGTCAGGCACAGCAGTACAAATGGTTGGAGCAGGTGTGTGTCACTGCTCGCTCAAATTCAATCGAGGTCCAACTCTGTCGCAGCAATACCCGACCCTCTTCGCTCGACTCTCAGATGCTGTTGCGGCCAAGAAATTCCATCCAGTCGGTGGCGCATGGGTCGAGCACGATGGGAACATGCCGAGTGGGGAGGCGTTCGTCCGACAAGTGCTTTATGGTCAACGGTACTTCGAGTCTCGATTCGGGTTCCGGTCAGAAACTGGTTGGTTGCCCGACTCGTTTGGATTGAGTGGTTCGTTGCCGCAGATCTTCCGAGGGGCGGGAATGAAGTACTTTTTCACCCAGAAGCTGAGTTGGTGTGTCTGGTTCTTGATGCCCATTGCATTGTGCTGAAATCAGGTACTAGGAATAACATCAATACCTTCCCACATTCGACATTCAACTGGGTCGGTATCGACGGGACCCAGGTTCTGTGCCACATGACACCTGTCGACACGTACACTGCACAAGCGACTGTCGGCGACGTGAACCGGGCGATAACAAACCACAAGGTCGGTGCATGTCTAGGCCGAGTCAAGCTCATGCTGACCTGTCCAACAGAACCTGGAGTCGTCTGACACGTCCCTGCTGGTGTTTGGAAACGGTGATGGAGGAGGAGGACCGTTACCGAAGATGCTCGAGAACGTAGGCGTGCAGATCTTTCTATCTTGTCTGGTTCTTGACGGCCTTGGTAGCTCCGCCGGATCCGCGCTGTGACCAATGAGCATCGGGAGCTTGCCCCTGTGACCATGGGCTCGTCAGTCGATGAGTTCTTTGCATATCTTGAGAAGAGCAGCGAAGGGGGCAAGACGCTCCCGAATTGGCGAGGGGAACTGTACTTGGAATTCCATCGAGGAACCTACACTTCGCATGGTCCTTGACTATTCACATTTGAGTGGGATTGCTGCTGATCCGAATGATTTTAGGTTCGATCAAGAAGGGCAACCGACACTCTGAGATTTTGCTTCGTGATGTCGAGCACCTCGCCACGATTGCCTCGCTGATTGACACCAAGAAATACAAATATCCCAAGGAAACATTGGACGTATGTTGGGAGAAGGTTCTTCTCAATCAATGTGGGTAGCCACATCGACACCTTTCTCGAGAGTTGACATCTTCTCTAGTCCACGATGTGCTTCCTGGATCAGCAATGTGCGTTTCAGTGAAGTGCGGGCTTTTTTCTCCTACTAAACACAAACACGCAGTGGCATGGTATATGACGACGCTGAAGTGCTCTACGGCGAAGTGCGAAAAGACAGTGAGGCCTTGATCGACGAGGCGCTGGATGTAATTCTCGGCGGCAACGTCAGTCCGGCATCGCATGCCACGGCGCTGAGCCAACTGGTTGCGTACAACACGACCCCCTTTGCGCGCCGCGAGGTCGTCAGCGTGGGATTGACCCGCGGTGCAGGATTGATGAAGAGCCAGGTTGTGCAGATGTCCAGTGATGGTAAAGAGGGATACGCTGTCGTACAGTGCGCGGCTGGGGCTGGGGCTGTTAGTGTTGAGGCATTGCCGGTGACCGAGGCTTGGGGATTCACACCGGCTTCAGGTGGGTGTTCATCTGGTCCAACGATCACCAGCTGACCAGGCTAAATAGTCTACACGAACGGGTCTGACCACTTCGTGCTGCGCAACTCGATGGTGCAGTTGACGATCTCGCGTGGCCGGATCACGAGTCTGTTGGATGTGAAATCCGACCGGGAGCTCATCCAGAAGGGCGCGACCGGTGGATTCGTGATTTTCGAGGACCGGCCCAATTCGTGGGATGCATGGGACGTCGAGATCCACCATCTGGAGAAGGCCACCCGGCTTGAGTTCGCGAATGTGTCGGTCGTGGCGCAGGGTCCGCTGAGGGCTGCGGTGAAAGCGGAAGTCCTGTATGGCAAGAGCAAGATGGCTGTGACAGTAAGAATGCAGGATGCGAATATGACCAAGTTGAATTGGGACTAACAGGTTTTGACAGATATCCTTGGATGCAGTCTCCGCCACGACCAAGTCTGACTCTTTGTCGTTCTTCCGCTTCGACGCCTGGGTGGACTGGCACGAGAGACACGAGTTCTTGAAATGTGTGTCCGTTTCTTGTGGGCTACTCTCAACTCATTTTCGCAGTCGAACTGCCATTGGAGATTCAAAGCAACAACGCAACGTATGAGACGCAGTTTGGCTGGGTCCAGCGGCCCACTCACAAGAACACGACGTGGGATATGGCACAATTCGAAGTCTGCGGCCACAAGGTGTGTGGTTCATGCGCATTTGTCACCTGATCTGAGCAGCGCCTCGAACAGTATGCTGACCTGAGCGAGTACGGATATGGTGTTGCTTTGTTATCGGAATCGAAGTACGGGTTTGCCTGCACAGGCAACGTGTTGCGGATGTCGCTTCTTCGGGCTGCTACTGAGCCCGATGCCGAGCAGGACCAGGGCGAACATACGTTCTCCTGGGCTGTGATGCCGCACAAGGGGCATTTCCTGGAATCGGATGTGCCTCAGGCTGCTTATCTGTTCAATTCCCCGCTCTACAGTCCGTGCTTTTGCTGTCACCTGCAATTCCGCGGCATGCTGATCATATCATGTTCGTCAGTCCGCGCCAAAGCCAATACGACGGCGACGCAGCCTCTCTTCACAGTCTCTGGTGCACCCAACGTTGTGTTAGAGACGGTCAAGCGGGGCGAGGACGACGGCCCGGAGCGCCGGACTGTCGTCTTGCGGTTGTACGAAGCGATGGGCGGACATGCGAAGGCGCAGTTGCGGATAGCCAACGGGCTCGGTGTCCAGGCTGCGTACGAGACGAATCTTCTGGAAGATATCTCGGAAGAGGCGAGGTTGGGGCTCAAGGATGAGTGTGGCCTGGAGCTCAAGTTCCACGGCTTCGAAGTCAAGACTGTCGTGCTCGTTCTGGGCGAGAAGAAGAATCAGTGAGTGTGTCTGTGACGTCGGATATGGGGGATGTTGGTTGACGGGAATTCCAGGAAGCGGGAGAGCTGGGTGGAAGTTTGACGGATATGTGTATCATATAGGTGTTCTGTAGCCAGTCAATTGTAGGAGGTCGTAAGTACTCCGTGCCGTTCATGGATTGCTGGATGGAAGAAATGCGGGAGGATGCTATCTGTGCACTCTCACGTCCTATTAATACTCCAGTCTTCCTTATCCTCATGCAGCCTCTAAACGCGACAGTCAATTGCGATCTAGGAGAAGTATGCCCAGCACGAATCTCCTGTCAATGCACTTAGGGAACTTTTCCAGGGCTATTCGCTTTATACCATTGTGTGTGCCTCGACGGTCCCAATTCTCAACTGAGTCGAAGACTTTCCCCAGGCGGACGATGCAGCCCTCATGAAGACTATCCATCTCGCTAACATCGCCTGCGGGTTTCACGGCGGCGACTTTGCGATCATGGACCGCACCGTACTGCTGGCCAAACAACACGGAGTCAAGGTCGGTGCGCATCCGTCGCTGCCCGACCGGCAAGGTTTTGGGAGACGCGAGATGCCGGGCATCGAGCCGGTGCGTTCCAAAGGCTCAGAGAATGGATGTATGCGCTGTGCTGTACTGAACGAACACCAGGACGAGCTCAAGGCCTGCTTCGTGTACCAGATCGGAGCACTCGAGGGCTTCCTGAGGCTGCATTCGATGCGATTGAACCATGTGCGTGTGTGCGTCCTCGAGGCTCGAGATGGTCGGTGGGACCGGAGATCGGTTGCTCAAACCTGAGGCAGGTCAAACCGCACGGCGCGGTCTACGGCCAGACCGCCCGCTCCCTGCCGCTCGCGCGTGCCGTGGTAGCGGCGACCAAGGCGTTCGGAGGGGACGTCGCGTTCATGGGCCTGGCGGGGACTATGCACGAAGAAGCGTGTCGGGAGGCCGGGGTTCCGTTCATTGCGGGTGAGTCCACCGCAGGGGCGGCAGCCGGAGACGTTAACGAGCGCTCTTAGAGTATTTCGCGGATCTGGAATACGACGCGGACGGGACGTTGTTGATTACCAAGTAGGTTGACGCCGACTTCGCACTTGGAAGGCACGTTAAAAGCCGCCGGGCCAGGATACACAAGCCAGTCGGCGTGGAGGATGTCACAAAGAGGGTACGACCGCAATCATTGATTTCAGACTCGGTGCTTGAATTCGTCACTAGATCAATCATCTGCTCACGCATCGAGAGATCACGACTAACGCCGGGTCGTACATCTCACTCAAGTCCTCGGTCGACGAAGTGTCGATTTGCTGTCATTCGGATACGCCGGTGAGTGTTGAACATTGGCGCCAGATACATTAATCATAAAGAGGGATCTCAGGACGCCGTTAGCATCGCCAAAGTCGTGAAGCAGGTGGTCGAAACGCATTTGAGCCGCAGCGACCAGTGAGGTAAAGAAAACGCGTAGTGACTACTCAGAGCGATCGAGATAAGACCCTATAAGGGTAACCATGATTTGGAATGTGCGAATGCCGCTCATGAAAATTAGTAAAGAAGCGATCTGGCAGGGTCTGGTGGGAGTTGTTGAATCACTGAATCAGGAGGCACTCGAGTCAAAATGATTGGGATCTCGTGATCCTGTCTGGTGAGTGGTGGCGGTGCTATCCTGGTCGCTGAAAGTTGGCAATTTTCCGCCCTTGGGTTTCCTTTTTGGGAAGCACGTGAGCGCCGCCGGCCGCTGATGAGAACACCCTTGACCGACAGTTTGCAATTTTCCACCCTTGGGGTTCATCAAAAATCATTTCTTGTTGAATAATACATGGAATAATGACCGAGTGTGAGAACACACTTGGAGTTCAGAGTTTTTTTAGAGCTCAGGAAGAGGGGGAAGGAAGTGGCATTTGCATCTATATAGAGGTACATACAGCACTGTAGCTAGTAGATACAAATAAACTTGGTTGCTAAAGGACATGTACAGCTGTCAGCAGGGGACTGGAGGTGCTGGGTGGCACAGGAGGAGGGAAAGGGGACGACACGCAAAGGGCAGGTGATGAGGGAGTAGCGGACGAAAGAGGGAAGGGAGGGCATCGGAAGTGATGCCGTGACCCGCACGCTCGCGGCGTCACTCCTGATGACCTCCCTCCGTCAAGTACCGGCGGCGGGGCGGAGGCCCGAATGACATAGAATGCCATACGTGCACGCACATCGCGTGGCACGACCAACTGAGGCGGGTTATTGTTGGGTCGGCGCGTCGAGCGGGAGGTGGGTGATGGGCAAGGGCAAGGGAGAAAGGTAGTAGGTCACGCGGTCATCAACAAACAAGTGTACTGGACAAACACATCGATAATGTAAATTACAATTAAAATCGATCAGGATCCGGGGCCTCCGTGTGCACGTGCCGAATGCTTCCCAAAAAGGCAGGTCACGTGAAAAACCCAAGGGCGGAAAGTCAAAAACTGTCGCTGAAGCTCGTCCACGATCAATGAACTATTCTTCCTCGTCCAACGTGTTCGAGCATCCGCACGGCTCAAAGCTTGTTTTAGTAATGAGATGCCTAGCGTGATACCTTATAATGGCGGACCTGCAGTCCGCCCGGTAATGGCTACTACCGTGAACTTCACTCGCTGTTTAGACGAAGTCTGCGGGTCGATGGGGTCTTGTCGGGGCGCTGGACGACTTCGGACACCCCGTTGCGAACGTGTCGCAGGCGACCGCCATCTCTTACGGTCTGTGTGTGCGGGCCTGCGGGACGCAGAACGAGGCGTTCAATTGGAACATATTCTCTCAACAATTCACGTGCGTCGTCGGCAGTGTCTGTCTGTCCCCAGAAACTCAGAATCCTACAGTGCATGGCTGCTCCCGTATCTCGCGCTCGTCTCTCAGCTGCCGTTTGGCGCGCGGACCCGGTTGCAGAACCTCGTTTCGCTGCTGCTCGCTGTTGGTTCTCCCACGCTGGCCGCATACAGTCTCGCTCTGACCGTTCTCAACGGACATTGGATCGCTGAACGCTTCTCTCACCTCCGATATCCGAATGTGCGCAACGCCGTGCGCATACTGAGCAGCTTACAGCAATCGCCGCTGGAAGTGGACAAGAACGAGCTCGCGTCTCTCATCCTGCTGCCTGAGAACGATGAGTGGTGGGATGAATTGGTAGTCTGGTTGAATTACGTACACACATGGTGCGCTTGCTGGTGATGGATAGATGGAGAGCTAATGTTTTAAGGTCCATCGCAGCTGTCGCGTCCATTCTATGGGTCGTGATTGCATACTTGTTCACTGTTGTCGACTCTTTCACTGGTGTGTTTTTACCTATCAGTCTCGAGGCTTTCATTGATATCTCCGCAGGCAATACTGTGACCTACTCCAGTCTGAACACCAATGGGCAGGCCGTGGGCTCGGTGTTTCTGTGGCTGCTCCCGATCGTTGTTTCATGGTTGCAGATCAGCCCCAAATGTGACCATGATCGGGTACATGAAGCCTTGCGGCGGGCCAACAAGATTGCGTATGTCGCCACGCCCCAAGGGGAACCCACGCATGCGGAGAATGTGTCCAGCAAGCGGGCGATCTTTCTCCGAAAGGGCTCTGGATCGATTCGATGCGACGAAGACTGCACGTCGCCCATCTTCAACTACGCACGCTTCATCCCGTGGACTCTTTCGGTCGAAGAAGTCTATTGCGCTTTCAGAGAAGCGTCGGTCAAGTCGGAGAGAAACGAGCCTGTCTCGCGGGATGTCACCTGGGAGAGAGGAGATCGCCATCATCGTGTCAAGCCATGCAACCGGCGAGGATCCTTGCCCCAGGTCGCAGCCTACATCCTGCCTGTCTCCGACGCATTTTCATTTGGAATACTAGGCTCTCGACGAAATCGACGGCCGGAGGGGATGGTTTCGCGGTTCCTCCTGGCCTCGCTGCTGGCCGTGGGACTCACCTGGGGGACCATCGGCGCCGCCATTCTCGTCTCCTATTTCACACCCACGGAAGGAATCGGGTGCCGAGCTGGGTCGTACATCATCTACGGCGTGCTGTCGATGGTCGTCTGGATGCTGCTCGTCGCGTCCAGCCTCATCGCGCATTTCTCGACGCCGACGATGTCGCTCCACGGGCGCTACCTCCACACGGCCACGACCCGGGCCCTCGGCATCGCGTCGATTGTCATCCGGCGCGTCGCTAAGATGCTGGCTGCGCTCAACTCGGTGTGGATTGTCGTAGCCTGCTTGTTCCAGTTCAGCAGTTTCTTCGATCGGTGTCTGTGCAACAGCTCCGTGTTCTCTCTCGGAAGTCGTGCGTTCAATGCAATCGACATCCGCCCAGTCGATGTAAGGGGCCTCAACGTTCCTTGGATCGGCGGGGTCGCCCTGGCTTGGTGCGTTCCAGTCTGTTGACTGAATCACTCTAATATATATTTGCATAGTGGGTGCGCGATTGCCTTCATGGCATTTGTAAATCTTTTCATCAATCCTGTACTACCGGAACAGTAGACAAAAGGGTGCACTGGTGCAGAACCGATGTGCTATAACGGATTATTCGAATTTTGTTGTGGATTTTTTCCGATCAAACTTTTGCTTGGTAATTGCCCGATCACTGATCAAACATGTTACGGGTGATCCATATGGATGAGGGCAGATACCGCTTGATGCAAGATGAGAAATAATGGTAGCTAGGGACTGTACTGGAGACTCGATAGGCAGGTAGTCGATTAGTCATGGTGGTGCCAGTAGCGTGATTCAGTAAGGGAGAGGGATAGCGAGAACGGAATAAAGGAGAGAAATTTGAGCTGAAAAGAGACTCGGGATGGGGTTTTCCTAACGCCGGAGGCGAAAGATGTTGGTTGAGCCGTTAATGATTCAGCATCCCATCAATAGCCATTCAGATGATCTTATCACATTGCCAGTGCCGTGCACAACAAAAGCACACACAGCTTTGTAGTGACTGTGTTCAACATGAGTGGCTGATGCTGTGAAGATAGTCATTTCAATATTCCGGCTTCAATATTCCGGCATTTTACTGTGTTCAAGCTATGTAAGACCCGAAACAAATTTGACGATGAACTTCCAGGGCATGGTTCATATGTACGTCGTCTGATTTTGCTCAATATCTGATCGTGCGGGTCAAATTATGATTGACACATGACAGGATCATCACTACTTCTCGCTTTCTCAAAATTTCCATGGTGCGCGTGCGGAAGGAAAAGGGAGGTCCGCCCCAGAGCGCTTCTTCTGTCCCAGAAAAGAAAGCGAAGGACAAATCGAATAAGAAATCTTCAAAAACTCTACCACCAATCTGGAAGAACAAGTCCTCGCGCTGGGAGGGAGCAAAGCTGATCTGGAGCTCGTCAAAAGCGTCAAGGGTGTCAAGGGAGGAGATGCACCAGTTGCCGATGTGTGTTATCTTCTATCCTGCCTTACGCGTTTATTCAGTGTCTTTGTAGACATCGCTTTCGAAGGACGTGTCTGAGTTCTTGAAAACCCTCAACCTTGGATCTGGTAGTGCCGATCTTGCCTCGGCGGCGGCGGTAACGACGACCCAGAAGAAAACCAAGCACAAGAAAGCTACCCCTAAGCCGGTTCAATCAAAGAAAGCCGACTCAAAAGACGTCGAGTCCGCACCCAAATCAAAAGCGGGTCCCAAAAAGTCTGCGCCAAACGCAGTGGCCTCGACATCATCATCCGCACCCGAAAAGGCCACCCCCAAACAATCGAAGCCGGTCAAGCAGACCAAGCAGCACAAGACCGTCGAGCCCATCGTAGAGCCGCCTGCTGTTGAAGTCGCTGAAGCAGCGGAATATACGCCTAAAGTCGAACTTCCGAAGCAAGTGACACTGGACCCGAAATCGCGATTCATCGTGACTCCAGCGTCGCATTGGTACAGCGTCGTCCCGACTTTGCCTTTGGATACCGCCACCGCCTCCGCGACCCAGATCGCAACATTGAGCACCCGCGCGGCATCGCTACACGAAACGGACCTGCAGACCTTCCAGACGTCGTCGTCGTCCAACTCCTCAGCCTCGGAAGCGACGTTCTTGTCGAAGATCATACAGTCGGGGACCCTGTCCGACCGGCTTAGCGCGCTCACGCTGCTGGTGCAGAGCAGCCCGCTACACAACGTCAGGGCTCTGGAGACGCTCAAAGGAATGGCGGAGCGCGGCAAGGGAAAGGGGGGCAGGGACGAGAGCTTGAAGGCTCTGCGGTGTGTGGTCGATTGGTGGGTTGGCGGTGGGGCCCCGGGTCGCAAGCTCAAGTGCGTGTGCATCTCGCTGTCAGCGCATTTGGACGGTGGACTGATTGAATGCTATTTAGGTACTTCCGAGACCAGCCGTTGACCCATCCTTCGGTGACGGACGCGCATCTTCTGGCGTGGTACTTCGAGGATTGGCTGAAAAAGTACTTTTTCTCGATCTTGCAGATCCTGGAGAGCCTGTCGTTGGACCCTCTGCCGTACGTCCGGACGCAGTCGCTCTCCCTGATCTCGACGCTGCTCCGAGAGAAGCCTGAGCAGGAGCAGAATCTTCTGCGTTTGCTAGTGAACAAGCTCGGCGACACCGAGAAGGCACTCTGCTCCCGCGCCTCGCATCATCTACTGCAGCTCCTCCAGACTCATCCGTCGATGAAAGCTGTCGTTGTGCGCGAAGTCATGGCTCTCGTTCTGCGTCCGGTGGGATCGTCCGCGGCGGCGGCGGCGGCGGCGGCCCCAGCTTCAGCGGCGGTGAACAAGCACATCAGGTTTGATGATGACGACGAGAAGCCCAAACCCAAGCCTAAGCCCAAACAGCAGGAAAAGAAACCTGCGGGCAACGTCCACGCGCGCTATTACGCGACAATCACGTTAAACCAGATTGTGCTGGGGCCCGGTGACAAGGAGGTGGCGCTCAAGCTCATCGACGTATACTTTGAGCTCTTCAAAGAGCTGCTGGGTGAGGGTGCGGTTCCCGAGAACGCTGAGGCTGAGCCCGAGGCCAAGGAGGAGGACGAGAAAAAGGCAGACAAGCATGGGCGGATCCGCGATCACCAGAAGGGAAAGGGAAAGGGCAAACAGACTGAGATTCGTGGGGCTGCCGGTTTCGCTGAGGTCGAGGACGAGAATTCCAAGCTCGTGTCTGCCATCTTAACAGGAGTCAACCGCGCGTTGCCGTTTGCCAAGATGGAGGCGGGTGAATCAGCGTCAGTCCCAGATGATTGATAGATTCGTTCAGGCGCTTATTTTTTCAGATTGAGCAAGCACATAGACACACTGTTCTTGATCACCCATACGTCGACATTCAACATTTCGCTCCAGGCGCTTGTTCTAATCCAGCAGATCTCGACGTCTCTGGAGTCCTCCGCGGGCTCTTCCTCGTCACCGAACTCCATTGCAGATCGATACTATCGCACGTTGTACTCCTCACTGCACGACCCGCGATTGGCGATGTCGTCCAAGCAAGCCATGTACCTCAATTTGCTCTTTAAATCAATCAAGGCGGATGCTCCCAACACGGACCGGGTGAAAGCGATCGTCCGGCGGTTCGTCCAGGTCCTCGTCAGTGGCGGGAGTGGGGCCACCGAGTTCGTTGCTGGAGGGTTGTTTTTGCTGGGCGAACTGTTCAGCAGCGTACCCGGCTTGAGAAGTATGTTGAGCGGCGGGAACGCCGCGGAGGAGAGCTACGATCCGAAAAAACGCGATCCACGATATGCCCATGCCTCTGCGAGTCCCCTGTGGGAGTTGGTGAGTTCCAGTCCGCCCTTTCCAACAGACTCTGCTGATTTGGGTTGACCAGACACCTTTGCTGCATCATTATCATCCCGCCGTCTCCCTCCATGCAAGACAGCTGCTTGCCGGCCAACATCTTACCGCGAGCGCGGACCTGTCGCTCAACACGACGTCACACTTTCTCGACCGGTTCGTGTATAAGAATCCTAAACAGGTCAAGCCGAGCGAAAATAGTCATATGGTGGGCAAGGGCAAGGGGTCGAGTGCGATGCAGCCTGCAGCGAGTGGACTGGAAAGTGGCGTCAAGCTTATGAGGGGCGAGATGACGGGCCTGGAGGGACGAGTCAACGACGAGACGTTCTTGAGGAGGAAGGAATCGGACGTCCCCGTCGACCAGGTGCGTGCGCTGTGCTTATATTGGCTTTGCCCTTCATCTGCGTGCAGCTGTTTTACTATAAGTTCTTCACGCGTAAGAGCGCCAAGGACAAGGGCAAGACGAAGGCGGATCAAGAAGACGAGGAGGAAGATGGGGATGAGGCAGAAGCCGACGACGATGAGGACGACGACGACGACGAAGCGGACAGCGGCGAGGAGATGGATTTGACTGGTGACGAGGCAAAGGAAAACGGACAGGATGATGAGGATGACAATGATGGAGATGAAATGAGTGAATTGGATGAAGACGAAGTATGGAAGGTGCGCTCTCTACTGGCCCCATTCAACTCTTTTTTACTGATCCGGTGATGGCAGGCGATGAAAGCCAGCATGCCAAAAGCAGACGGAGACGAAGATCTACTGGACGACAGCGATGTAGATATCGATGACGACGAAGAACTCGACCTCAGTGCGCTAAATGGGGATTCCGATGAAATGGACGACGACTCGGAAGCCGCCGACTCTGCAGACGCTGACTCTGACGACGCACTGTCGCTTGCTGAAGGCTCAGACAACGAGGACCTCATCTCCCTCGACGGTGAAGGCGGTCTGATCGAGTACGATGGTGGCTCTGATGACGAGGAAGAGTGGGGTGGAATCAGTGGCGACGCAAACACCAAGAAACGCAAGCGTGACGAGGATGCATCTGCGAGCAAACGAAAGAAGAAACGCTCGTTGCCCACTTTCGCAAGCTACGAGGACTATGCCAAGATGATTGAGGATGGGTCTGAGGATTATATATAGCTTAGCGTGTTAGTGTAGGAACTAGACAACTTGACGCAAACTAGCAACGTCGTGTGTGTATTCGTTATTTGCCCTCCACGTGAGCGTGTATCCGATATGTGCACAGCCTTGGCTATTGACAGAGTTTCGCGCATCACCTACCACGTCCCCCGAAATTCGCTCATGGCAGACGCAGAGAAGAAACTGTACAAGGGTACATCCGGCCAGGCGACCCTTATTGTCGGAGGCTTCTGACACTCTTCTCAGCCAAGCTTGAAGCCCGGGACCAATTCATTCGCGAGTCGTGGGTCAAAGCCATGGAGGTCCGTCTCGTGCGCGAGGAGCTAGAGAAGTGCCGCAAGGGAGAGGGCCCGAACGCGCTGGAGAACTGCAGGTGGCTAGCCGACAAATACATGCAGATGCTGCAGGACAACCAGGTGGGTGTGCACTACTCTCCGGATTCGTCCGCTCGGCAGCGCTGACATGCCCTCAAGCTCAAGGGATACAAGACTATCGAGCGGGAGTAGATCTTTGCGGAGAAAACTTTCGATACATAGAATTCTCGATACTGCTTTCATCGACACGCTCGCATGCCAACCTCACGGGGTCTTCATTATTACACACCACCCACACCAGGTCCTGCTTGTGCACCACTCGAGATTCTTCGCTGTCGCCGTACCAGGAACGAGCCCACGAGGCCGCAATGATTACTTTGCTAGCCCCTGCTATCTGTCTCAATCTCATATACCCCTGGAGACTGAGCCAAGTGGTAATTCAGTAGTCCTTTGACAGACAACCAGGGCCTCCTCTCAACCCAACAGATCTTGATCTTTTCTGTTTGTCCAGTGCGCCCATCCTTTTTTTGCGTCTTTGAAGGCTGCCAAAAGCTGAGGATGTCGGGTCAATATCCACGCGGGATCTGTCTTGAATACCGCACGCACAGTTCCCTCGATGTAATTGCCTTCCTTCAAGGCCTCGAATAAAGCATTTGGGTCCTTGCGGAGCTCGGGATTCTCCTCGCTCGCGGCATCAGCATCCTTCCTGATCTGCTCGGCAAGAGAGAACAGATAGTGGCGGGCTTCGTGGCTAGGGAGCCCTCAGTATGGCGATTCCAAAAACGAGTGGGAAAAGTCACGAACTAAGCTACGGCCCGGTTGAAACACCGCTTCCCGATGGTGAGCTCGAAATCGGGTGGATACGGCAAGTTGGGCGCCTCGGCGTTGTTCTCAAATTGCGTCTTTTTACCGTATCTGAGACCCTTCTCTTTCTTTTTCTGTACGTGACACGTTTATGAGTCGAGCGGAATTGGGGGCATAACGACAAACCTTGAACGTTTCATGATCGTAGATGCCTTTCGTCGTCGATATAAGATAGGAGCATGATAGATCGCAGGCGTATCTGCCTCGAGTCCAGCACGCGTGGCAATTGCTGCTGGAATCCTCCATAGTCCCAAGCGAAAGAATAGGTCGCAGATTCATGGTGGCGATGAAGGGCGCTTTCCAAGTCGAGTGGACCATTGAATCCGCAAGAGGATCGATATGTCTCTTCAGGGCGTTCACAGCAGTGGAAAAGTACTCCTCTGGACAACTTGTCTTCAACAAAAGAAGACACGAATGCAGGACGCACTCACTCTCATCTTCGGTCAGGGAATCGATGTAGTCCTCATCCGAAGAATGCAGGGCAACGATGTATTCGACGAAGACCTCGAAATGTTCATTGATCTCCCGATGGGAATAACGCATTCTGTCGAGAACTGCATTGGCGTCCGAATCGGCCTCCTCATCGTCGTCCACCACAAATGTATCTTCGCCGACGTCGTCCAGATCAGGTTCCACACCTACGTCGTCGCCGTCTTCTTCCGACGCGTCTTCCTCAAGATCAGAGAGTGAAGCTCCTGCCGTAGGCTTGCCGATGCGGTCGTCATACCCTGCATCCGATGACGGCGCGGGCGACGATCGGTTCTTGCGCCGGTGATTGTATCGGGCGAGGGCATTCTGCATCTTGTCTCGGCGTGTCGGTTTCGAAGAAGGCATTTGGGGGGCTGGATTGAGAGTTCGATGTCATGCAGACGAGTTGTATGACCAGGACACACCTTCGAGGTCTTCGTCGCCGGAATCCAATTGATATAGTTTGGCCGGGGTAGACCGCTCTACTCCTGAATCTTCGTCCTCTCCGCCTGATGGCGAGGGGTCTCTATGGCGTCGCAGACGTTGCCGTGGGGGTGATTCTGCTGTGCCTCCATCCTCGTCGCTGCTACTCTCAACCAGCGGCGATTTCTTGCGGCGCAGGCGTCGTGGTTTCGAGACCTCGTCTTCTTCAGAGTCATTTAGCACCGCGACCGTGGGCGGGGGGTTACGCTTGCGCTTGCGCGGAGGCACCGAAACATTCTCCTGTTCGCTGTCCGATTCGATGTCCACGACCTTGACCTCTTCCTCGACCTTCTCCTGAGCCTTGGGCTTTGATTCACGATTCTTCTGTTTCTTCTTGCTCTGTGGTGAAGCCACGGACTGCTCATCTGAATCCGACACGATCTTGACTACATCCGACACCCCTTTACCCTTCCTGCCTTTCTTCGTCTGACTAACAGTGTCGTCGGCGGTTTTCTTGCGCTTTTTCACAGGTATCTCCAACGGTGGCTCCACGTCCGATAGAATTGCGATGGGTGCCGACTTCTTCGACTTGGTCGGCCGTTTTATTGTCTCATTCGACGCGTTTGTGGCGCGACGCGAACTCTGTTTGACTGGCGGAGACATACAGTTCAGTTTGTTCGCGCCGAGATCCTCTGTGTCGCGTTTCCTTTTGGTTTTGAGGGGCATGGAGTGGGGAGTTCTCGTCAGAGGGCGTGAGTGTCGGTGCAGTGCGCGGCTCATGTGACATCATAAGGAAGGCGATGATTAATGATCATAAATGAGTCGTCACAGCTTAGGCTAAACGAATGTGCATGTCTCCCTCTTAGCTCAGTTGGTAGAGCGCGTCACTAGTAATGACGAGGTCAGTCGTTCAAATCGGCTAGCGGGAACATTTTGAATTTGCTTGCTATTTGTTTGCCTCTCACTCCCGCTTGCTGGCTATTCGTCTCTGTAGCCACCGCGCCGTCATTGTTAAACGTTCGATGGCAATGCATCGTCATGTCTTATGAGTCTCATGTACCAAAAACCCGCTGAATCTGCTGGAATTTTGTACGGCGTTGTTCCTATGATCGGGAGTCCACCCCGTGGTACGAATCTGCTCCGTACTATGATGTGCCAAATAAAATGACTGCTCAGGTGAAAAGGCAATATGCATGCAGACGTCGTGCATGTGACTGAGTACGCATCTAGAACACGAGGTCGTCATACATGTACACGTGATCCAGGGGAGGAAGCGTTGCTGGCTCACAGCGTAGCACAGGTTTTAGTCAGTATACCACGTACATACGTGCCGGTACTTTATCCTGCTTCTTAGCTTTACCAACGTGGGCCAGCGAATGACACAAGGACCCCAGCAGATTTGACACGTAGAATTGGCAACATTGACAAGTAACACGCCCCCAGGGAAAGACCGAAGAGAATGGACCCACAGAAGATCCAGATACTCGCGCGATGAGAAGGAGGAGGTCCAGCACAAATGACTGACACACTGCAGCTATTGAGTGAAGAAAGAGCTCGGCTCAGCGAGTTCAAGTAAGCTGATTACAGCGAACGTGGGCCGCCGCCGCCGTCGCAGACACTTCGTGGGTAATCCTCATCCTCAAGGAGAAATTGAACGTAAGTCGTCTTCGCTGATGCTGCTTTGGACAAGATGGGTGTCGACTTTGATCTGGATCGGTACATCACAGAGGTTCTCGTCAAGGCTCTGAAGTCTAGGCGCGGTGAGACTGGGACAGGGTTGCCTCGTCGACCGTGGGATCAGTCTCCCAGATCCGATGGGTGAGATGAGATACTTATCGAAGAGACAACTATAACATAAAACTCGCCAAACAGTGAGCTATGGCAAAGCTGTAGAGCTCCGGCCAATGAGGACTACGTAGATATAAGCGTGGCGCGTGACGGCTGAAGAGCATACCCCCGGATGCATCGATGGATGCATCGAGACAAAACGTGCCAGTGGCATAGAACAACTTCAGCCTCACGGCATGGACATCCATCCATCTGTGGCCCCTTTGAGGAACTGGTTTGCGTGTTTAATCTCCGTGGTGGCCGTGTCCTTAGCCGTAAGGCACTGACTTGGACAGATGCAGGCCTGGAACCGTCGTACAAGTTCGGCGAGCAGATGAGAATCCTCACCGCCTTTTCACCGCCGATAGACTATCGCAGCTCTCTCATCAGGATGCATAAGTAAACCGTAGAAGCCAGATTGATCTGGGAAGGGATTGAACAGAGATAAGAGAGATGGCAGACTGATTACGAGAGCGTTAGTGCAGCGTGGCATGACCGTGGGTGTGCCGTTTGTAACGTATAGCGAGTTTGTCCTGGAATATCGGTCCCGATGACCTGGTTGGCGCCCGACGGGTGAGTGCTGGGCTGATGCTTGGCGTATCCGAAGCTGATTTCACGCTAGACATAGCACAGCTGGTAGCTTCCCACTGGTTCTTTTGCGGGGAAATTGTCCAGAATTTGTGCGTGGTGTCAATTCGAAGGGGACATGAGCGTGGAGTGCTTACTCGCTTTGATGGGTATGGGTCTGATCCCAGCTCGAAATCACAGGCTACATAGCCGACGTTGCTATGGGCCATATTGCCGAGGTCGCTTGAGGTATTTTTTTCTCGTCCAGAACTTCGCAGGAAGGAGGAGAGCAAGACGGAGTACAATTATCTGTCTGCTCCCTGTTTTCCGGAGTTGCAAGAGAGAATGAGAGTAATGATTACATGCTATATTCCAAAAAGAAAAACATCCGTGCGGGGTTCAGCGGTGGTTCCGGGGTCCCTCCTTGGCAAAGCTGGAGCGTTGATATCAGTCCCTTTCATCACTCCCAGTCTAAGACCAGTGACTGCTGCCTCTTGCATGCCTTTTTCTCGTCCTCCACTCTCGACTGCGACTCCACACTGATGTCGCTCCTCTCGCCACCACCGAGCATACTACTGCTCCCTTCGCAACGCTCATCAACGCATAGTCTTTCTTCAGCCAGCTCTGCATCATCCAGCTCCGCATCCTCCAACTCCGACTCGTCACATACCAGTGCTAGCGTCAACACGCCCACCAAGTTGAATATGCAACCACAGCGGAAGATTCGATTTGCACCTCTCCCGGATCCCAGGAGAGCACTGTTGTTAACAGACGATGGTGCCGAACTCCCTCTGCCCGTGGCGCCGGACACCGCCGACATTCCCGCCGCCATTTATGCACCGCAGGCTGTCTATGGGTTTGGTGTGCAGCCCGCAAGCATCATTAAATCACAAACTAAAGCGCATTATGCATCCTCGAGCTCCTCGCCGAGCGCCTCTCCATACCAGTCTCCATACCAGTCACCCGTGCACCAAACTCTGCCCCTGCCCTCCCAGACTCAAACACCCCCTCCCCCACCGCACTCATGGGGCCCCTCATCCCCGTCCAAATCATCGACGTGGCCGAAACCCAAGTCGTTCTTGCGGTCCCTGCGCAAAGGTTCTGGCACGCCAGCCTCGTCGACGGACAGTCTTACACCCACACCGTCCGTGGACGCGAACAACGCTCCCAGCACGCATTCGGACTCATGGGGTGCTCCCCTTGCACGATGGGGGTCCACCAATAGCACGATTTTTGGCTCTCCTCTCGCTCGGACGCAGAGCCAAACCAGCATGACAAGCCTGAAGAAACGTGGGCGGAGTCTATTCAGCTCGAAAGATTCGAAAGCTAAAGAGGAGAGGGGGGGATCGCGGGGCCGCAGCGTTCCGCCTGCCCTCAACCCCTTCGCCAACAGCATCAACTTCGGGGCTGGCTCGAAGATGCGAGGCCAGAAAATGCTCAACGGAAGAGTTTATGGCCGTGGTGGTGAGTGGTGTATTTCTTTCTCCTTTTGTTTTGTGCTATGCCCCATATCCCAATATCGTGCCACGGCGCACCGCGGGCACACGGGGATCTTCGCAAGGTTCCACCCTCGTCATCTCATCTCATCTCATTATACACACGTGCCACGCTTGCTGCTGCCTCTGCATCCATTTTGTCCACCGCCCATCCCCGTTGAGGCGAGCTGTTTACGTATCGACTCTCGATCGAGCGTTAATGGCGCAGCTCGGCCTTCTATGTCCCTTACTATCTCTCATCCTCGGAGGCATTGGCTCACATTCGCATTGTCACACAGGGAGCACGAACCCGTTCGCGTCCGCCCGCGATGAGGACCCGCAGTTCGTCGAATGGGGTTACGGTGGGATGGGCTCTGTGAAGAATGGTGCAGGGCATTCTGCTTGGAGTCGCGTTCAGGGTGGAGGTGAGTCTTCCTCGCTCGTCTTCTGGGCTGCTGGGGTCCCGCTAGCTCGGAATTCGCGGAGACCGCTGTCCTGTCATCCATCTGTTAGACACAGGGCAGACGCGTCGCCCGCGTGTGATTGATAATGATATGCGGAACGCGATGACCGGATGCTGATTATTTTCGCAGCGACTATGCCGGACGATCCACGCGCTCAAGGGAAATCGGAATCGAATGGACATGTCGGCATGGGCACGGTCTCTTCGTCAGGCGGAGGAGACGATGACGATGATGGAGGGGGGATGGGCTGGGTACGTCGTCGGAGGGAAGCGCGAGAGAAGGAGGCTCGGGAGAAGGAGGAACGAGAGCGTGAGGAGAAAGAAAAACTAGCACAGGAAGCTGCGAACGGGAACGCGGAAGGTGGCGGTGAGATTGTCGAGCCGCAACAAGCGAATGGAGAAGACGACGTTACCTGCCCAACACCAGAGACTGTCAAGTCGAGCCCCTTACCTGACACGGACAGTACGCCTGCTGGCACGCCCTCCCTGCCACATTCGGTTCCATCCATGTCTCCCTTGCCCTCAGTTTCTCCCGCAGGCACCCCTTCGATTCCCAGTCCTGCGGCTCTGTCGTCTATTTCTCCATCGGGCACACCGTCGATGCCCAGTCCTCCGATTCCTGCTAACGGTGCACATGTCCTGCAGGCTGTGAATTTGCCTGCTGGATTCCGCGGACATCATCATCATCGGAGCAGTTCCAATGCCAATATTATGGTAGCAGCGGCCGAGCAAGCCACGCGAGATGTCCCATCTTCGAGCTCGAGTGCCGGTTCTGTGTCCGAATCTGACACTGAGGACGAGGGTGACGAGGAGGAGGACGACGGCGAGCAGGACGACGGCGACAAGGAGCTGAACGACGACGACGGTGAAGATGAGGAAGATGAGGACGAAGCTGCCGCGAGACGCCGCACTGCCCTCGGAGCCGGTGTGGAGAAGATCAGCCGGCACAAAGAACAGAATCACGACCTGCACGACTCCACTGGCTAACTTTCAACCTGCGATCCCCATGACACACCCCACTCCTCTTTGCATTATTAACTTAACATCATCGCGCAATCCAGTCTCACCTCGTTAAAAATAGTATATACTCCGTTTAGGTGAGTGCTTTGGCTGTCTGATTGTTTAATCCTGACCCAATGCCTTCGCAGTGGCCGATGTTCCCGACGACCCAGACCTCTGCATCTTTACTCTAGCTGCGCTTGCCTCCGTTTAGTAGCCTAGTTCTCCCTCTTGCGCTTCCCCCGTCACGAGCCTTTTACACTCTTGTTTCTGGGTTTTATGTTGGTTGCGGTCCTGTGTATGTACATTACAGTTTATCAATCCCGTTCAATGCAGTTGTGTCACATTTCAGATTGTCTGCAACGAAAGTTGAACACAATGGAGCGCTCACTTATGGTTGGCAGACTGAAGTCAGATACAAAAACGATTATTCCCGCTAGCCGATTTGAACGACTGACCTCGTCATTACTAGTGACGCGCTCTACCAACTGAGCTAAGAGGGATGTGGCGATGATTGCGAACTTGAATTGACCATCCTGGGGGATATTCACCCGTTCTTCAAATGACAATTCTCCCCACAGACACGAAAGGAGCGGCCCACAGTACACAGTAAATGCACAGCTATCTCATCAAAGATGCAACAGAAAGTGATATGAATGTGCTATACTTGGTTGTATTGTCGACGTCAGAGCCGGCGCAGGCCTAAATTGTTTGTCCGACCCGTCCGAGAAGGGCAACATTGCCCGTGCTGGACAGAACCTGTGCTAGATTTCTGTTTCCTACTTCTCTCAGACCACCCTTGCCTCGTCTCGTCCCTGTGGCGAGCAAACCGAACCTCCAGCGGCAGCCGTCTCAGGCCCGATTAGCCAGCGAATTCATGTCATGTGGCCGTTCCTAGGAACAGCCAAGGCCCGAGCTCCGGCTGCCTCGTTGACACCGTCTCTCATGCACACGGCAGCACGGGTAACAGCGCGGGAGGCAGCGGGTTCGAGTGCGGAGGGGAGCGGAGCAGCGGGCGGGATCGTTCTGCCGCTGCAGTTGGTGTCCAACGGGGCGGAGCAAGTGTGCGTGTGCCTCTTCCTTGAATCATCATTTCCTCGGTCGCGCGGAGCGCGTCACTTTTACCGTCATTGACCCCGCCCGTCGTGCGGGGGTGGCTGTGGGTGACAACAAGCCTCGCTTGTGCGCCAGACCGTGTCTCCGCCGCCCAGTAGTGCATTCGCCTGACGGGCTTGCAGATCGTACACGCTCCCCGTGTTGATTGGGTCCAACGAAAGCCCACAGAACTTCTCGCTTCAGATTGACACGGGCTCCTCCGACTTGGTACGCATCCTTCCAGTTGGGAGACTCTCACGTTCTGAGTGGATTCTCGCAGTGGGTAGCCTCGTCCTCTTGCGGCTCGTCCGTATGCAAGAATGCGCCGGGATTTAGTCCAGTCACCGCTTCCGCGACGGGTCTCAATCTTGACATCCACTATCTGGCTGGTGATATCTCCGGCCCTATTCTATGGGACACGGTGACAGTGGGTGGCTACAGTGTGTCGAATCAAGCATTCGGTGAGTTCAAGCCGTGATCCTCACACTCTCTAGCATACTGATCGGCTCCCAGCTTCTGCCACCACAGTAGACTCGGAACCACTCGGGTCACAGTTCTCCGGAGTACTGGGTCTGGGACCGCCTGGGAACTCCCGAATAGCTGGCCACATCCCGCCCGTGCTAGGGAACGCACCAGATGGTGCCGTCTGGGCCTCCAACTTGTTCTCAATCACTCCAGCGACCTCGGCGCCGTCGTCACCATTCCTCTCGCTTGCACTAGAACGCCCGGGGAGCAGTACTGTTCCCTCTGTGCTAGGAATCGGCCGACATCCCGCTTCACTCGTCCCGAACGCGACTCTGGTGGAATACCACCCATTGTATCAGCCTGCAGCAGAGGGACCCTTGTTTTGGAAATCAGCGTTGACCGGGATCACAGTGTATACCGACAGCGGGAGCATACCTATTTCTCTGGGACACTCTGTGAATGGAGCATACCCCAGCGCAGTGCTTGACACGGGCGTCTCTGTGATTCTGACGACAAAGACCGTGGCCAATGCGATCTATGGCGCTATTGGAATCCAGGCTGATTCGAGCGGCAACTGTGAGTTGGGCTTGCTAGATGAGTTTCAGAACGAAACTGACAAGCGAGGGCAGATTATATGCCATGTACAACCCCTCTGAACTTGACGATCTCCTTGGATCATCGTCGGGAGATGCCCATCCATCCTCTCGATCTGTCAACTCCACCCCCATCATCTTCGTCCAATCCGGGCGACTGCATCGGGTTGATCCAGACATCGGAAGATGCGGTGCTGAGCAACCCTGCGTCGGGGATCGGAGATGTGATTCTGGGAGTGCCGTTTCTGCGAAACGTCTATACCGTTCTAGCCTTCGACGCACCCTTGACCAACGGGACGTTTTCCCCGCAGAACTTCTCCACTTTTGCTGCCGTACAACCGCATCTCGGTCTGCTGGGGCTCACAAACGCGACTGTCGCGATGGCCGAGTTCCACAGGGTCCGCGTGCTCAACGAACCTATAGGCGATGGCAGTGCGAATGTGTCAGTCGCGTCCAGCTCTGGGCACAAATCCGTGGGGATTCCCGTGGCCATCGGCGTGGGCAGTCTGGTCGGGGCCTGTTTGCTGCTGTTTGGCGTGTGGTGGTTCGTCGTGCGGCGCCAAATCCGACGACATGGGGATGGAGACTACCGCTACGACACGAAGGACGGACTGCCTCTGACTCCCTTGCCGACGGAGGACGAGCTCAGAAGCCGGCGTCATCAAGCGTATATGCAGTCTCTGCACACGCTCAGCACGGACCGCACGCAATTCGAGCTGGTCCCTGAGGAGGTGCCCAAAAACAAGGATCCGCCGGTTCTTGAATCTCACGACGCTATGTGAATCTACGACCACGATTTTGCTATGGGCGTCGGACGCTACTGCTATCTTTCATTCCTATTAAGGACTTGTTGTACTCTAGTGTGTATTCGTTAGGCTTATGATCACGATTTCAGAATCTTAGAGAAAGTCTCCTTGAGATGAAAGCACTAAGCATGAAGTACCTAGTCGTTTGGTTTCAGCATGAATGCGGCAGGAGCTCCGCTTGATCTTAGGTATCCGATGAGCATCTCAAATGGCTGTATATGGCATTAGGAGACAGTGGGAGATCATCTGGAATAGGTTGGCTCTGGATTCCCCATGAGTATCAGTGACATCAGTGAGATCGGCGACAGACAACTCAAGAACCACGTGATCGTGACATCTATGATGTCTCTCCTGGACCAGTGCCCGCGCTCTCCAGCCAGAGACACCATCGAGAAGTATCGAGCTTCCTTCCTCATAGCACCGAGGAAACAGCCGGAATGCGCTTTAGGTGTGGGTCATTTGCCTTATGACTCGATGCCTCGCGACTTGGGCCTGCCGCGTCCCAGGTACGTACGCAGGAGCCCGGATTCGCATATAAGCTTGGGAGATAAGGACGTTTCTCCTCCTCCTTCCGTCAGACCGCAATGCCCAGATGCACTCGAGCTAGGGGGGACTATGAGCCCGGGGATGAGCGTGCTTCACGGTCGCGTTGCTGTCAGCGCGGTAAGTGCAGTTCCACTCCTTTTCGGACTGCCGCTCATTCACACGGGGAAGCAATCAGCAGAGACTGGACGCCAGTCGTTTTTAATAAGACGAATATCTACGCCAGTCGTTTCTATACTGCAAATACCGTTCGGTACACATACAAACTCAATTCGTTCGGTAGGCGGTCGTTCTGTCATATCGCAGCTATTCACTGACCACAAGAATGTCAGAATTTGAGCTTTTGCGTCGACTTTCTGACATGAGTGCATATTGCGATGTGCCCAGTCGACCTGCCTGCGCTTCTGGGACGCGCGAATCCACGCTTCATGACCTCACCGAATGGGCATGCAGCAGCACCGCTTCCTCCGGTCGCGCTCTGCAGCTGGCAGGTCCAGCCGGCGTCGGCAAGTCTACCATACTTCGCAGCCTTACTTCGAGACTGCGTGCAGCAGGTCGTTTGGCGGCCAGTTTCGCGTTCTCGGCGAGCCACAAATGCGATTCTTTCGTGTTTACACTGGCGTATCAGCTTGCCTGTAACGTTCCATCTCTGCGGGAACATGTTTTGGCCGCTGTCCGCAAGGATCCTAAGATCGCTTCCCGTAGTGCATGGGTGCAACTGAGGGAGTTGATTGTGCAGCCGTGTTCTCAGGCTGATGTATGCGGCGGCCCATTCACATTCATTATCGATGGTGTCGACGAAGACGACTTATTCCAGGATCTATTCCGCCTCTTCTCATCCGCTCTACGCCAACTTCCCGCATTCAAGGTCGTAACTACGGCGGAGGACTGCGGTGGAACCGTTCACCGCGTCGAGCCGTCAGTGCAGGATGTGCGGGTGTTGTTCGAAGCAGCACACGTCGATGCTGACCTGGCCGAATTCTCTGGGGGTTGTCCTCTCTACGCTTCCACCCTAATCATCTACCTGGAGGACCACAAACTTGAAACGGGCCTCAAGCCTGGACTGGATGCGCTGTACACATTTGTTCTCTCACAGGTGCCCTGGCGTGACGCTCTCCTTGTTCTGCTTGCGATTCTCGTCACACCGTCGTTTGCTGGTCTTACGGTCGAGCACGTTGACCAGCTCGTTCCTGGTGGGGCCCGACGGTTGATGCGCTATTTGCGATGCGTTTTGGATGTGTCGACCATGGCTATGGCTGTTCGCCATCCGTCAACGTTTATTGCATTCCTCCTCGATCCCAGTCGGTCAAGTCAGTTCTGTGTGGCCGAGTCGACGTGTTTGGTCCGAGCGATGCTGCAAGTCTGTGGCGAGACTCGTGTCAACCACATTGCATGGTGAATCTCCATCCTATCTGCGCATATTAGGCACTAAGCTGCACGGCAGGAAACACCTGACCACGATGGTCGACTATATTACATCCTCTGACCCAGACCCCGGACTTCTGCCAATCGTGCAGCAATTCAATCCAGATTACCTTTTTGGCACTCTGTCCGCTTTCGAGGCGTCGGGTGTCCGGATGATTCAGTGGCTGCAGAAGTTTGACCCACTGCCAACGGAACTTATTCAGCTCTGGAATGACTACGCATATCTTAACCACTTCCATTCTATCGTCAACGACTTCGACTTTGATCAAGCGCCGAACCGCACAAATGCCTCATTTGCGTCGCTGGACTGGGACCCAGAACTGATACGGCTGCTTCGTGTCTCGGTGATGTTGCCTGCGCTCACTCCTCTCTTCCCGTTCCGAGTGCTGCTGGGGATGAGTTGGGATGAGTTGCGGAAGGCTGCCTGTTCTCTGAGATCCGTTGATGACGCCAGCTTGGCATCGCTTTGGAGATTGGCCTGGCAGGATCCCAGTTCTTGGGATGGGGTGTTCCGTGATGTCGCACTTCAGAGCATCCGGACGATGAAAGCAGCGCACGCGGATGTGCTTCCGCGCCAAGTCATCGGGTGCGCACTGTTTCCTTTGCGTCGTTCTTGTTGGCGCTGACAAACGCCCTAGGTTCTGGATGGAATGGGGACGATTCGTTCGATCCTCTCCTCCCTGTCCGTTATTGGCAAATGAGCTTGCCAGTTTTGTGCCGGAGGACGACTGCTTCTCGATTGCGACTGAGGTTTATGATGTCATCCGTTGGCTCGAGGTGTGTAAATATAGAGCGCATGTTCTCCCTGAGAAACCTTGACCGACGAATCCTCAGGTGTTTCCCAAAGGCCTTCACATGCAAAGAGAGCGCCATCGCTGGATGTCATATATTCCTGGATCGACACACAATCTGGACGACCTCCGCGATGCTTTTGAGACGAGATGGGAAAGCTGGAAGGATATTGAAAGACTTCTGGTCACTGATATGTAGACTGTTATTCTTGTGTATGCCCCGGTTCCATTTAGTCAATGTACTTGTGTTTATTCACCCAACCCATGAGCTGCGCATTGATGATGAGTTGCTTTGTAGTGGCGGTGATCTATAGATTCGTGACACCAGTCACAATACGTGACTTCCCATACCAACGCTCCGCCTCCATCTCCAATCCCTCGGCATCCAAGAACACCTCAATGGCAAGCAAAGCGGCCTACAAGCGAGTTCGTCGCCTCTCTCGATGCTGATACGCCGGCGCTCAATCACTTCGGATAGCTCACGAAGGAGTACGTGACAATGCAGAAAGAACCTCCACCATTCGTCTGGGCCGCCCCAGATGAGAAGAACATTCTCACCTGTGCGTCTCCTTAGTCCTCGTATCCACCGGGAATCTCATCCGGAACTGCTCGTAGGGAACTTCATCATTGTACGTGCCTGTCGTGTCGATCCTAGAACCCGCCAAGATCCCGCCAACTCACTCATTGGTGTCTAGCGTGGTCCATCCGACTCTCCTTACGCAGGCGGCGAGTATCACGGCGTGCTCATGTTCCCCTCCGAGTACCCTTTCAAACCCCCCGGAATCAAGGTATCTGGCGCATGCCCGTGCCAGGACGAGTCGCTGATAGCACAGTAGATGATGACACCCTCCGGACGTTTTCACCCTGACAAGAAAATCTGTTTCTCAATGTCGGATTTCCATCCTGGGACGGTGTGTTGCGCATGAGGGACGGCAGTAGCGTGGTTCTGACTCTTGTTTGTAGTGGAACCCTGCATGGAGTGTCGCGACAATGTGAGTGACCCCATTCTGTTCTCTGCATCCTGTTCGATGTATTTCTCCATTCTCGGACCCTTTTGAGCTTCGAGCTCTGCGGGATCTGTCTATGCCTTCGGCTCTCGCTCCAGTCTTTAACCGGCCTTCGCAGATTGACCGGACTGTTGTCGTTCATGCTGTCGGATGAAATGACGACAGGCTCCGTGAACACATCCGATGCGCATAAGCGGGTGTTCGCTGCGCGCAGTCACGAATGGAACCTGGGACAGTCTCGATTCAAGGACGCCTTTCCGGAAGTACGACATCGCCATCTCCGCTCTACTTCCTCATTGAGCTGACACCCGCCACGCAGTACTGTACGCCGCAGATCCGAGACGTCCCGAACATGGGCGAGAAAGAACGCGGGGCTTCCGCTCCAGCACCGCCACAGCCGGAACCCGTGTCAGCTGCGCCAGCCACTTCCGAGAACAAGGCGGTGATTCCGGTGGATGATGCGGTCAACTGGACGACGTCCTTAGGCCAGGTTCTGTGGGAGAAGTGGCGATGGGGTCTGTTCATCATTCTAGCGGTCGTTGTCTCGCGGATCTCCTCTCCAGCTTGAAAGGACTGTCACGGAACAGATGATTGTTTACCCACATTCTTTGTCTTTACCACCCTCCTCAACAAGACCAATCCTTTTTAGTTTTACATAGTTGCGTAATCTCCTGGTAGCTATCTACGCCGTTGTATCATCAACCTGTATTCCGTCCGAGGATCACAGACTTGAGAAAGCCCTCCAGCGATTAGGACCATTATTGTTGGGGATGCGGATCACATCGCGATCACCTGACCGGTTCGGACCGGCACGTGAGAGCGAAGATCTGCACTGCGGCCAAGTAGAAGTTGCATGGGAAGATCAAACACCATCTGAGCCGGGTGCCATTCCAGATATATGAGCACAATAGACGTTGGCTTGTCGGTGGCGGCCTGGCTTTCCCAATTGCGCTTCTGCTCTAGATATGCCCTGGCTGACAGATGTTGGCCCCGGTCTTACCTCCGCGCTATTATTCGGGACGGAAACTGGAGAGAGACAATTGATTAAGGGTAGAGGGCGCAACAAGTCTCCCGGGTCCATTCGAAGGCGCTTCGGTTGGATCAGGAAATTGCTTGAGCGTTCAGTTCAATCCACCAGTCAAGTCGCCATGGTCAGGCTCCAGGTACTCCAACTTCGATGAGTGGGAAGGGAATGCTAAAAGGATCGCGGTCCTGAGGAATTCTTCCAGAGTTCGGATTCTCGGTCAGTCGCACCGGTGCGCGTAGTCGCGTGATCCCGGACAAGAAGAACGCAGTGAGGATATCGTGTCAGTAGCAGCAAACCCTATCGGAGCCACGTTCTTGACTTCTGTGATGAGCCAGATACCGAGCGTGCAGGGAGCCAGGCAGCTGTCCGGGCATTGGATCATGCATGCGGACTGACATGCGACAGTGGCGCGGCGGATATTAGTCTCGTAGATCGGCGTCCACCCGTAGCGTAGCACACGAAGGGAAGTACGGTATCAACAATGGGATCTGCGATGCTCCACCGTATCATACATCCAGCTCGCGCAAACTGCCCGTGCGTGCCATGAGCTGGACACATGTTTGTGCAAGGTCCGGGGCATGGGGTATGGGGCATGGGGCATGGTGGAGCAGCGACACAGACGAGACCGGTCGAAACCTTGAAACAGTTCAGAGACTAATGATAGGGGACCCATAGATTCCAGGTAGCTGAGACGCAAGGTAATATTGCTGAGCACCGTAACCCCAAGATGTTCTGCAGGTATGCCGCAGCTTTGACATGAGCCGGTGCGCCGTCACGCTCGATAGCAAGCACAAGGTGGTCCAAGAAAGGAAAGGAGGGGACAATTGAACGAACATGTTTGTTTGTGCGGGGTCGCCTGAGTTCGACAGGAGCTGGGAAGGAAATCAATGCAAGATAGTCCAAAAAATGCGCGCAAGCAACCGTGTCCGTTTAGCGCATAGCAGTTTGGGTCGGGTTGAAAATCCGAAGAATCGCAGACTGCACGTCTCTGCTAAGAGCGAGAATTGGACCATCTGGGACGGAAAGATTGCGCACGCCGGTGCACCTAAAGATCGATTCAGTGGTTGTCGAATTGGCTTACGGACCATTAGTGAGGGGCAGAGAGAAAACTATTCTCTGGCCACATGATGTTTCCACCGAGGCTTTTGTCGTAGTTATGCCCAAAAATTGAGTCCATCGCCGAACAGATTACACGGCATGTGGCTGAAAGTAGGAGCGATATTGAGGGTGGGTAGTTTCAGAGGTGAAGGCGGTGAACGGATTTAGGAAAGATGCGTGACTCAGTAACGATCTTTGCGTGAATGTCGGGGGCAGACGTCTCGACAGCGCTATGGTGGCCCAGTCTAACAACTTGAAGATGACTTGTCTTGCCAGTGTGGGCTCGAACAGCTTACATAAGCGTGATGCGATATCACAATATTTCGACTGTGTTGTGGATGAGAAGTCGCACGTGCTTGCGGGCGATATCCTGCTTCAAGGATATCCTTGATTACTGAGAAGCGTTCCAAGAGGCTTACTTCATTTAGAAGTGGGTTGAACAGTTGCAAGAAAATTCTCCGGCTCGGCTCCCAATCAGGTGATCGTGTTTTGGCCGATTCGCGGCTCGGGTTTTGGACGCCGGGGCAGGCCGTAAGCCTCGGCTGAGTTCCGACGTCCATGAAACGAAACGCCGACAATGACCTCCCGAAGGAGACTCATTGCCAAGAAAGTCATGTACCCAAACCTTCGTGAAGCCTCGCACAAGCATTAGACGATGCTTATGCCATGTCTGACAAACAGCAATTGTATTGCCCCTGGATCGACCGACAAAGTCTCAGGCCCCGCTCTACCGACCGCATCGCTGTCTAGCATCGATCGGCGCTCGCAAACTTTGTACAGCCTCGCTGTCTCAAGCCCCGTATTGCCGACCGCATCGCTGTCTCAACGTGCACGGGCCATTCCCGATTGACATGAAGAAGTGCATATAAGAAGAGATGGCTTTTGCCATGAGGACTAACCCAGAAGCCCCTACCATGACGTCCTCACTCAACTCTTGCCCGACCGAGCTCTGGGAGCAGATTCTGTCCACCCTGTGGCACTCACCGCTGTCTTTTGCGGAGAGGAAGCAATTCATCCTCGCCTCGACGTTAGTGTGCACGAGATGGAGCGCCGTGTATGATCTGGTTGCAGCTCGCGATGTCTATATCGTATCCCCCACCCCGTGCGACGAGTTCCGGCAGCGCGTCCGGGCAGAAGCCACGGCATCGACCCGTGCTGCTATAGCCCGCATCGGCGCTGCACCCACCCATCAGGGCCAGTCGTTCGTGCAACGATTGCTCCAGCGCATCTGGCCCCATAGATCGGCAGCCGAATCCACCCAGGCGCCGACGAACAACTTCCGATGCCGCTCTATAACCATTTCGCTCACCAACTGCCCTTTTACGGGCCGCCTCTCTCTGGGCTCCTGCCTCGACGAGCTGCTCGAAACCCTGGACGTGTTCTCCGAAACCCTGCCCAATCTCCGAAGACTCAATATCGAATACACAGACGCGTCGCCCGATGATCTCTTCACGCGGCGCACCTTCGCGGGCCTCCCACCCCAGCTGACGCATCTCCACATCCGATTTACGGAGACCGCGTCTTCCGCTCCAGCCGCGGAAAACACTGAGCATCCCGCGCGAGACCCGCCGCGTCCCAAGTGGTACTCGGAGACCCCCGTGATCGTGTCGATCTTTGGGGTCAACGAAAATGTGGTGAAGAGGATGAGTGAGGCCGTCCCCTGCGGCAGCGTTATCGCAGCAAAAGACTGAATCGGAATGGTAGTTTCGTGTTAAGATTTTGCGTACTTCTCTGTCTCATAATAGTTTAATGCTCACCTTGGCTATCTTGCGACCACTGTCTTGAATCACCATTCACGAGCACGTCATCGAGCTCAAATCAGACTGATTCTGAGATCACCTAGGTATTTGAGCTGAAAGCCCTCCAGCTCGCTGCTCTCTGGGCCACTGGAACATATCTCAAGTTGGTCCGATTGAAGTGCAAACGGCTACAATCGCCGATCCTTGCCACCCGATCTGAACTGCTGAAAATCGAACGTGCATACTCTATAGCCCAGTACTCACAGAGTGGATGTTAGCGATAGGCTCTTCTGACCGTATCCATATTATCGAATCTGATCAATATCTTATCTATCTTGGTTGTGTACACGATCTCTGATAGATGCATGGGACTAGTAAGTAGGCAAAAATTGAAAGCAAGACCCGCGTGTCGTCAAAAATCAACTGAACAAAATCGATATGCGTTGTGCGACGGTGGTGTGTCAATGCGGATTAATGGGTACTCACTTTGAGTGGAGATCATGTGCCATCACAAAATTCAAACTCCGGGCAGAACTCCTGGAGGCCCCTAAATCAACTCCAGACTTGGTCTATTTTCTCTTTCCTTATGACTAAATCTGCTCCACCCGATTCAACTCTTCAAGCTTCATAGTTCCAAGTGACAGCGTTAGTCGGTCGGGCTCCAAGTCGCCACGCAAAGTCGGTGTCGCTGCTGCACGCTACATCTCCTCCGACCTCCCATCCCCCAGCAGACAGATAACAACGCACTCGCGATCTGGAAAAACAGTATGGAGGCCTACTTCAGAGGTGTCATTTCTATAAACGAGATGCTGGAATCGATGGCGAAGGCCACCGCGGAAACAGAGGATTGCATCAAGATGATGGCGAAGCTGGGCCAGCCCGCATTGGACGAAGCTCTGCGTTCTCGCAAAGCTTCAGAAGCCCAAAACGTTGCCAGAAATGCCGAGGCACGTGAGAAGGGTGGCAAGCCCAAGGATCGTCGGCGGAATGAGCAGTCCATCATCGATACAATGGTGCGCACCATCTCCATTTTTCAAATCATGCTATCTCACTTTGTCTTGCCCTTTCAGATCCCGTATCTCAACAAGATTGTTCAAAATTTCCCTGCCGACCACAAACCCAAATTCGAGGACACGCACGCCCGCAGAATTGCCAGCGCGGACGATCCAGCCGATCATTATACCGCACCGGACATCACTGCGTATCGGCCAGGACTCGACTCTTCAGCTCCGTACACCTGGCGAAACATCGGATTTGTGGCCGAAGTCAAGGACAGTCTGTCTTTCATCGTACGCCGGAGCAAGCACGAAGCCGAAGCTGTCGCTGACGGTCAGGCAAGTGCTCCCATTGACGACGAGGAGATTGGCGAACCAGTTGCGCCCCAGGACGAAGACGACAGGGACACCAGTGCCCAAAGCGATAGTTCCGAGACTCGCAGTGACCCCACACGATACCGACTCACCAGAGGCCAAGCAGGTCGCAAGGCCTATGTGCAGCTGGGGAAGAGCGCGAGGAGCATGCTCCTCGCGTCTGGTGGTTTGCACGTCTACCTCCTATCCATCGTTGGCAGAGCGGCGTTCATCGTCCGATTCGATACTTCTGGGTGGACGGCGACTCCGCCAATCAACTTACAAGAAGACAACACGGTCTTGCCTCGATTCTTCCTCCGACTGTACAATCCGCCTAACACACCAAACCTGGGTTCGGGCCGGATGGCCGGCGACGATTTCACAATCACGCCTCTCACGGACCAGGAGAAGACCAGGTTGCGGGATGCATTGGCAACGAAGGGAACATACGCATCGGACTTGGAAAGTGTTGACGACGATCTGACGATGCGCAGCGTGTCAATGCTCGCGGTGCACTCGATTGACCGTTCTGGCGGCAAGCGGGAGCACCGGCTTGTGCGCTGTTTCACATTCGGGAAGCAGCTGTGGCTCTCGCATGGCCTTTTCGGCCGCGCAACGAAAGTGATTCGGGTCATTCTCGAATGTGATCTCGACAAAGACAATCCCACTGTCTACGCGCTCAAAGACTCGTGGCGCCAAGGCTGTCGACGACCCGAGATGCACTACTACGATCTCATCGACGACTTCAGGAAGAGAAATCCTCATGTCGTGGAAGCTCTTCGAATTGGGTCCATGGCCAAATGCCATGGCTCGATCGACTTGTCGCTGACTCTGCCCCTGGACCTTGTCAGGGAGAAAGACGGATACAAGTGCGATGTCGAGTGGGATACCGAGTCTCACAAAACGAGTTCCATCCTCGGACACCCCGATGAGCTCGTTGTCATCCGTTATCATACGCGGACTTTGTTGACTCCCATTGGTGTTCGGGTGGAGCGATTCAAACGGGTCAAGGATTTGGTCGAGGTGATCTGGAACGGTCTAGCTCGTGAGTTGTCTTGTGTCTGCTGTGAACATGATCTCACTGGTAACGCAGAGGCCGCTCTCGCTCATCTCGCAGGAGTTCGACATCGTGATATCAGCAACGGCAATCTCTTGGTCGACGAGATCCTCAAGACCGGATTCCTTCTCGATTACGATTACGCCGAATTCACGCCGGAGGGTATCATAGCTTACAAAGCTCTGCTTGAAAGCCGAGGTTTACCGGACGACACCGATTTATACGAAGAAGTCGAGATGAGCTTCACAGATATCATTGTACGTTTCACCAATTTTGTCTTTTCGCACTCGTTGACATTGGTCAAAGGGTACGACCCCTTTTCTGGCCCTCGATCTCGCTTTCGGCGAACCTGTTACGCACCAAGACTATCACGACATCGAGTCGTTTTACTGGCTCTTGATCTGGACCATCCTCCGGCACACTCCTCCAGAGTTCCATGGTCACCACCGATACAAATTTGCACAATTATTCAATCCTGATTCTCCGGCTGAGAAATTTTCGTGGATGACCCGATACCAATCTGTTGGACCGCCAGGCTCACCGCTTGCCAGACTTTCTCTTGCACTGGTGATTCAAGTGAAAGAACAAAATCGAGTCATCGTTCCGCCGGTGGAACCAATGAAATCAACACCCGAAATTGATTTGCGAATCAAACAGCTCTTCGGGAACCTTGATGCAGATGTGCCTCCTCCCGAGGTACTTCCTCCTAAAAAAATGGAATGGGCTACGATCTTGGAACTGTTCGGATCTTCGCTCAACATGGAAGGCTGGGACACGATGCCAAGTGATGGATGGGTTGAGTACATTCCTCCCTCCACGCAGGGGTCCACCCTACCAGACCAAGATGACTCTGGGACTCTCACAACTCTCGGACGCGAGTCCATCTCGAGCCCCAGGTCCGTGGGATTATTGCCCCGTGCGCCTGATATACACGCCAAGCGACCTGCGGACCCATCCACCAGGGGCAGTAGTGGCTGCAAGCGACGCAAAGCCGCGGGTGGAGACGAGAACGTTGGTCGTGCTACTACTCGTGATGATATCGACTAGCTACGTGTGATTTCTCCGAATTCAGTCATTGTTCATCGATGAGAATGTGGTGAAGCCCAATCGAGACTCAAAAGCAGCTTTGCACGTGGATCCTGAAATACTTTGGTCTTTTGGTTGAGGAGACCCCCGACTTGCTGCTCTCCGGCTACTGGGACATATCTCCAGTTTAACTCAGGGCCATACAACTCAAACGGCTAAAATGACCGATCCTTGCTGCCAAATATAATATTCGGAAACTCGAACGTACGTATCTCTAAACCTAGTACACACAGAAGTAGAGTGTCGATCAAGGACGTGATCCAAGTTGATAATGAAGCTGTAGTCATGCATTATACAATATGGAATATCTATACGTGAATGGGACCCCGACTACTCTATAACATCACGAGCGGCATCTCGACCGATTCTCTCGTCCTGACCTTGGGCCTTGCGTCGCTTGCTGCTGGTTCCTTCACGTGTATCCCGTGCCTGTCGTTTAGATCCTCTGTCCTGGGGTATCGAGCCCAAGGCGGTGGGCCCGGAGATCGACTCGCGTGTGAAGATAGCATTCAGGGCACGGGTGTCATTTTGAGTGACTGTGGTGAGCTTCTGCGTATAAGGGGGCGTGTATTTGACCCAGCGATCGTTTGGCATCGCGTCCCAGCCTTTTTGTGCGAGCCAACCCCCGACGAGCGTCACGACAGCGCGAAAGTCCATCTTCACTGCCGGTTTAGCCGTTTCGACGGGAGGTTCCTCAACCGGAGCGAACGACTCGTCGTCCTCGCCCAGACTCGGGATAGCGAACGAAGCGGTTGGCGGATTATTCAGGATCGGGACGGCCACACGATTCTGCTCCTGAACCAGCTTCACCCATTCCAGAGTGAGTGATCGAAGCGGTGAGTCAGGTGGCCCAACAACTTGATAATCAGTTATCCATAACTTTTTTTTGTCAGCTGAGTCGAAGCCGAAAAGCGCAGCGAATTTATTTTGTTGATGACCATGGAACTGAGGAGTGGTATGCCGAAGGATGATCCAGATGAGAAGCCAGTAGAAAGACTCGATGTCGTGGTAGTGCTCGTGGGTGACATCTTTGTCGAAAGCGAGATCTAGGGCGAGAAACGGAGGCGTGCCCTGGCCTTCAGTCAGATCATGTCGAAAGCGAAGCACAGAAGGGACGTACCGTGATCTCTTTCAAGCTTTTGTTAATGTCCTGGTAGAGGTGTTCGTCATTTCGCGCGCGGTCTTTGGATAACTCGGTGAATGCATCGAAACCCTCGGGCGTGAATTCGGCGTAGTCGTAATCGAGCAAGAATCCGGTCTTGAGAATCTCATCGACCAAAACATTGCCGTTACTGACATCGCGATGTCGCACTCCGGCACGATGTGCTAGCCACGCCTCTGGATAGATAGTCAGTCGACTGGGCCGAGACAAATGAATCAACTGACGGGTCAGAGCATTATATATCACCTGAACAACATCCTTCACGCATCCAAATTTCTCCGTGCGAAGACCGATAGGCGACAGCAGAGTGCGCGTATGATAACGAACGAGGATGTTCCTCGCTTCCTTTGACAATCGATCAATGGAAGACGTTCGATGGGATTGAGCGTCCCACTTTCCATTCCACTTCTCAGCTGCCTGGAGTTTCATAGGTAGAGTCAGAGACAGATCGAGAGAGCCATGGCATTCAGCCACCGAGCCGATCTTCAATGCTGCCAAGACATGAGGATTTTGCTTGCGGTAGTGGGCAAGCACGTCATAGTAGTCCACCTCCGGCCTGCGACAGCCTTGGCGCCACGAGTCTTTGAGCGCATAAATCGTAGGATCGGGGTCCTTGAGATCGCACTCGAGGATGACGCGAATCACCTTCGTGGCACGACCGAAAAGACCGTGCGAAACCCAAAGCGGTTTTCCGAACGTGAGGCAGCGCACAAGTTTGTGCTGGCGCTCGCCCGCGGGTCCATCGACGAACTGGACAGTAATCATCGAGACGCTGTGCCTGGTGAGGTTGCCTTCGGTTGCGGCCAAACGAGATGCATAACCACTTTTCTTCCTCGCCAGCGCACTCTTCAGTTTCTTCCTTTGCGCTTTCGTCAGCGGGTTGATGGTGAAGTCATCGCCGAGGATGCGACCGGGCCCAAACCGAGGCGCTTTGGGTGGATTGTAGAGTCGAAGGAAGAATCGTGGCAGAATCGTGTTGTCTTCCTTCCAGTGGATGGGAGGAGTTACCGTCCAACCGGAATTGTCGTAACGAACGATGTGGGCGGCTTTGCCAACAACGGAGAGAAGATAGATGTGGCAGCCCCCAGACGCGAGAAGCATGTTCCTTGCACTCTTCGCCAGCTGCACGTAGGCCTCTCGGCCTTTCCTCCCACGAGTAAGTCTGTATCGCATCGGGTCCTTGCGGACCTCCTTCTCATCGACTTCACCCCCCGTGCCCTGATCATCGTCGTCTTCTTCAGCTTGCGGGTCGATATCCTCCTCAACCACAATCTCATCTTCGATTTCGGCCACCTCCTCGTCGTCGTCCGCATCGTCGTCCGCGTCGTCATCATCCGCGTCGTTGTCGTCAGCGTCGTTGTCATCTTTCTCGTCGCCGGCTTGTCCGTCCTCTTCGCCCTCTTCATTCTCAGCTGCCGAGTGTCCTGGTTCCCCTGGATCGTTGGTTTGCTCGGCGTCGAGGGCGGCCTGCATCTCTGACGCGCTCCGCTTCACGACAAAAGACAGGCTGTCTTTGAACTCGGCGACGAAACCGATATTTCGCCAGATGAGTGGAACCTCGGAAGCGGGAACGAGTGGAGCCTTGGAAAGGTCTCTCGGTCGCAGGGCGATAAGATCGGGCGCAGTATCGTGGTCGGCTGGGTCGTCCGCATTGGGAATCAGCCGCATATGAGTGTCCCTGAATTCTGGCTTGTGCTTGTCGGGGAACGCTTGCACGATAGCGGAGAAATATTCGGTCTTGAAAAGGTATGAGCTGATACGGTTCCATGACTGTGCATGACACTCACCATCTCGTCCAATAAAGTCTGCTCGTTCCGTCGGCGTGGTTTCCTCTTATCTGCATGCTCGCGGGGCGTGGGGTCGAGGGCGGCATTATGCGCAGACAATGCTTCACGCGATTTCCAGGCCTCATCCAATGAGGGCTGTCCGAGCTCCACCATCGTGCGAATGAACTTCGGTGTTTCGAGAGAGGGCTTTGGCATTGAGTCGAGCATCGACTCCGTGGAGATTACGCCCCGGAAGTGATCTTCAGACATCTGCACCCAGTGGTCGAAGGTGTTGTCGTCCTTTTGTTTGCGGGACTGCAAGTCGGTGGCACCGTGACGAGCGGCAGAGAGGCGTGGTTTTCGAGGAGAGTGGGACGTCGATTGACCTGTGCCACCTGTGAATCCATGAGATAGAGACCGGACCACACAAGGGGACGCATACTTTGTGTCCGGTCGGACTGTTGGGGAGCAGGTTCAGACATGTCAGACAAGAGGAAGATGTTTTAGGGATACGTACACGTCGCAAGCTCTTTTATCAAGGGCCACGGGACTAGTTCGGGCGAACAATGCAAGAGACAATCGAGCACTTCAGAGAAGGTTGAGAAGAAGCACAGACTGGAATCAGCACTGCCATCGACCCAATCGAATCCTCGCTGTCAATAACACGTGAAGGCAGTCACGGCCGCGCGATGCTGAATCGTTGGTTGTGGATGGCCTAGTGAGCAGAAATCAACGCCATCCTCTTATGCATACGAAAGGGAAGATTTTTTTCTCCTTCAGCCAAAGATCTGTTTGAGAGAGCATGCTCTTGACGTGGGAGGGGAACCTGGTCCCAGGTCATTGTCATTGTTGGCGTGACTGTTCGTGTTTGATGATCACGCCGTTGGCGGTTCTCACAGATGATCGACCGAAGTGCTGTTCTTGTCTACTCAAGTTTCATCCCCCAACCAGTGGTCAAACACTTCCCAGAACGTAGACGGACAAACATCTTCACACGCAGAACACTATCCTTTTCCAATCGGAACTGACACACTTATCATGCTCACGAGACCTCTGTACCAGTGGCTTGCTTCCCACACCACATGCAAGACTACGACCTCTCCCGCCCTCTCGACTCCACGGGTCTCAGACAAGGGCTGACGAGCTACGGGGATGCCCATTTCTCCCTCTTCCTCCGCCGAGTGTTTATCAAGGCGGCGGGATACGGCGAAGACGCGCTCACCCGACCAGTCATCGGAGTCATCAATACACATTCCGGATTCAGCCCTTGCCATGGGAATGTCCCGCAGCTCATTGAAGCAGTCAAACGCGGGGTGCAGCTTGCAGGGGGTCTGCCGATCGAGTTCCCGACGATCAGCTTGCACGAATCGTTCGCAGCGCCGACCAGCATGTATCTGCGCAATCTGATGAGCATGGATACGGAGGAGATGATTAAGGCTCAGCCGCTGGATGCTTGTGAGTGCTCTTATCCGGTGGAGATCGTGGCTATCGGTTTGCTAAACAATCCGTCTCAGGCATTATGATCGGAGGATGTGACAAGACGGTTCCCGCCCAACTCATGGGCGGAATCTCTGCAAACAAGCCTATCCTGCCCCTTGTGACGGGTCCCATGATGCCTGGATCATACAAGGGCGCTCGTATTGGCGCGTGCACAGACTGCAGGAACAACTGGGCGAATTACAGGGCTGGCGTGATTGATATGGAGGACATCGCAGCGCTCAACGATGAGCTAGCGCCTACTGTATGTCTCTTCAGCTGAATTTCTCGCTCGCTCTCAAGTTTCAAGCAGGTTGGAACGTGTGGTGTGATGGGCACCGCGAGTACTATGGCCTGTATCACGGCTGCTTTGGGCCTGATGCCGCTCCGAGGCGCTTCAGCTCCAGCTGTCTCTGCAACTAGACTGAGGGTTGCCGAAGAAACCGGACGAAACGCGGTACACGCTGTGTCAGATGAACACCGCCCACAGACCATTCTGACGCGGGATTCGTTTCTGAATGCGATTACTGTGCTTCAGGCCATCGGGGGCTCCACAAATGCTGTAGTCCATCTCATGGCCATCATCAACAGACATCCCGCTGTTTCTGGGACAATCTCCCTTGACACATTCGACGAGATCGGGCGGGTGACACCCTTGCTTGTCGACTTAAAGCCTAGCGGAGACAACTACATGACAGATTTCCACAACGCAGGTGGTATGGAGGCCC